TAGCTGAATTTTCTGTAGCCAGATTAGCTAACCTTCCAGCTAATGCTAGCAAAAAAAAAAAAAAAAAGCTCCAACGTTTCTTGTGGCGCGAGCTTTGGTTTAATCATTAAAACTTTCAATTATGTCAGATAAATAAATAATAATAAGCTCACCTTAATTTACTATTTACCCTTTAGATGCCCAGTGTTACAGTAAAAGATAACCAGCAGGAATTAGTCAAGGCTTTGTCAGCTTTTCTTAAAAAGTAAGTGAGACATGACTGCGCAGGTTGAAATTCACCCGCCAGTCTCATGCTAACATGATGCTAATGACCGGAAGCTAAAGGCTAGCTACAGATTAGCTGAGGTTTTATAATGAGATATGATCATCATTGTTTATAGTTGTTTTTTTTTTTTACTTTAAATATTAATCCAGAGAAATAGCTACATTTTGGTTGCTATATTGATAAAAATATAAAATGTTGTGCGTTTTGGCTCCACTGGAACAGTATGATTGAATTTAAAGAAAGATTTTTAAAAAAAATTGTCAAACGTATATTTTATTTATACACAGAGGGAAAATTTGGTGTCATAGCAGCAGCCATAAAAATTCCACCATGATAATAAAATACAAAAACAGAAGCAGGAATATGAGTGTAAAAAATAAGATCCAAAAGGTACCATTACTATCGTATGTTACTAATAATACCAGCGCCAATAACATTGATAATAATGAAAATGGCAACAGTAAATGCAACAATATTTACATTTTTAATTATATTTAATATTCATACCTTTCATGCTAGGATTTCAGACTAAGATCATCTTTATGTTGAGACATTATGGAGTTGTAGCCACCTTCTCCTTTCGGCAAACAATGATAATAACATCAATACAGAATATTAAGACTTCTTTAAAAACTGAAGCTATACAAATGGTGTGATATATAATATTTGTGCACAATAACACAAATATATGTAAATATATTTGTGTGTTTATATTTGTACTATGTTCTGAAATGAAAATTACAAGATGATTTCATAATTTTACTCATGACAGAATGATTCTAGGATTTTGTTTTCACCATTTGATGTTAAAAAGAAGCTATTATTTGCATTTTTTATATATTTAATATTATGAATGCTTTACAAAGCTTGGGTACAATGTGGCAGTTTTGTATCTATAATTTGTTCTTTTCCATCCTTTTCTGTAGCCTCGTTATTGTGACATGAGAAAACATGCGTCTTGTAAAACTGTTATATGCGCGTGAAATAAAAATTAAGCTTTTGTGAACAGATTTATGTTCTCAGATTCTACATAAGCTCACGTTAAAAATCATCTCGGCTAAATCACAATAAAGCCTTATTTTATCATTGAGCTTATCAATCTTACCTTTATTTAAACTGGTGTGCCTGAAGAGTGTAAGAGGATACATATATGTGCAGATATTTTTACTATATTTTTTTTCCATTATTACAGTCCATTCAGCATGAATTAACATTTTTAGGTCTGGCAAACTAAAGGTCCCAGAGTGGGTTGATACTGTGAAGCTCACCAGGCACAAGGAGCCGGCTCCATGTGATGACAACTGGTTTTACATCAGAGCAGGATGGTTACATTACAGTTCCATAATGCATCAGTTCATCCACACAATTAAAACAGAAGCTAAAATACTTGCTAGAGCCCATATGGATTCCTTTTGTTCCAAGATCTTGACTATAATTTTAAATTACCTTGTTTGACTCAGTTTCTCTACGAATTTTTGAGCTTTTTCGTGAATCTTTAGGTTTCATAATCCTGCAGAAATAGTTGTAATGTTAAACTGTTGACTTACACAACATGTACAGTAGAAACACACATGGCCTTGTGCTGATGTGAACGTTATCTACTAGGACTTATAAGAGGAAAAAATGTCAGACGTGAGATAAGCTGGAATGTGAGCGTTCATACAGTATCTTTCAGGTGAAAAAGTCACATATTTATTGCAACATACAGCATAAAGTCAGTCTCCCCACCATCACAGACATCTACATCTCCAGATGCAGGAAGAGGGCCACCTGCATCATGAAGGACCCCACTCACCCAGCACACACACTTTTTGCCCCGCTCCTCTCAGGAAGGAGGTTAAGGAGCATTAAGTGTAGAACCACTAGACAGAGGAACAGCTTCTACCCTGAGGCTGTTAGACTCATGAATATCTAACCAGGATAATCACTGTGATCAATCACATCATGTTGCTGATTTATTTCATGCTGTTGTTCATTTGTTCTCATCTGCTCACACAGACTCGTGTTTGTGCTGCTGTTCGGCATATTGTTTTTAGTGCTTAGTTTAACGCTTTTCTTAGTTCATATCTTAGATCCTATTACTGTTTTTCTTTTACATTTTAATTAGGCCTGTCACAATAAACAAGAAATCAATTAATCTCATGATCACTAAAAATGATTGACCTCATTTTCATTTATTGACTTTATCGTTACTTCATGTCTCTCTCTTTCTACTGAAGACACTGGATGACGAGGCTCAACTCCACTGTCTTCATTGACCCCTCCCTTTCTCTTTAAAATCAGTTTTAACCGTCCAAAATACTGTTTTTGGATCATTAAAAGCAGCTATGCTCAGAAGCTAAGCTACGAGCTAAGGTAACATGCCGACCTTGAGAAAAGACTTCCGTCTTGTCGAAGCTCCAAAATTCACAGTTGAAACCTGTGCCTTCGTGTAAAAAGTTGTTTTTCTCTGCAAAAAGAAGCTGAAAATTGGTTTACTGATTTTTTTTATTAAAAGCTTTGTGTGAAAAATGCTATGCTAAATATCTCAAACCACACCGAGCATCCGCCATTTTGAGAACCAAAAAAACAAGAAGGAGAGACAGCCCATGTCACATCAAGGGTCCGCCCTCCCATTTTTCTTACAGAGAAGCGCTGCTCGCTCCCTCACTATCCATCCTTCAGTTCAAACTGTCTTATATTGCCAGGTACTACACTCAAAACAAATTAACCAACATTTTTTTCTTAAATTTGACAATAATTACTAATTATTGTCAAATTTCAAACAATATTATTGTTTATCACAATAATTTCTGAGACAATCACCTAGCAAAATTTGTTATCGTGACAGGCTTAATTTTAATACTTTTGTTGGATGTAACTGGGACCCTGTGTACGCAATTTCGTTCCACCACATGTACCACATGTGGTGTATACGAGAAATAAAGATCCTTGAATCCTTGAATAAAGCTATTTCCCACGTCACCAGCATCAACAGCTCGTCACTTCTATCTGCGAGGAGGTGTGGACGTTGGCTCCATGATCAAGATTTACGGAGGGCGTCAGCGGAACGTGTATGCCCCGCCCACTTCATCATGGGCTCCAGGAAGTGGCACGTAAAGTCCTTCAGGCTCTCAAGGGCCTCAAGATGGTGGAGAAGGATCCAGATGGGTAAGAAAAGTGAATTCAGAGGATAATGTGTGTGCTGATTTCCACGATTCACTGAAGCGATTGGATTTGTGATCGCAGCGGCCGTCGACTGACTGCTCAGGGCCACAGAGACCTGGACAGGATTGCTGGTCAGGTGGGTATTGTTTTTAAACATCTATTATTGTTTATAAGGATTTATTATATAATATGATGTAATATAATCTAATAGAGCAGAGTATAGTTTAATATAATAAATAAATTGCTATTGAACTAAAGCTAAGCTAGCTTAGCATTAGCTAAATTCTGCAAAAATGAACTGTTAACTAAAAGTTAAAGTTAAAACATGCTAAACAAAAGCTCAAATCAGCAAAACAGTAGCTAAAATGAGAAAAAAACTACAGCTAAAAAATAAAATTAGCTAAGTCATGCCTCAAAACTAACATTAGCAAAGTTGTAGCTAAAAGCTAAACTTAGCAAAGCAGTAGCTTAAAGCTAAATATACAAAATCCTACTTGAAAGCTAAAATTATCTAAGCCATTGGTAAAATGTTAAATTATCAAGACTGTAGCTAAAAGGCAAAAATAAGCAAGAAAATAGCTAAAAGTTTAAAGGCAATTTAAGTGGACAAAAATATATCAAGTTTTCTGAAATAGATTTCAGAGTTTTTATTTTTATTTTTATTTAAGAACTGAAGTAACCGTAATTTATATCAAAGGGAAACAATTTTTATAATTACACAATTCTAAAAAGTAAAAGTTACATATATTAATAATCACAGCACACAGTATTCCAGATACACCTAAATGTTTTGATGTATGAATTATTAAAATACCACAAAATATAAAATATGGAAGTAGTTTATGAAAATACTTATAAACCATAAACAGAAAACAATCGTGTTATGCTTTATTCACGCAATTACCTTTGAGAAATTTTGATGTGTTTGCCCTTAAAATAATCAACACTGAAACCCTTAAAGGTATAATTTTTTTGTCAATAAAACCCTCTTTGTGTTCATACAAAACATTTACCTCTAATTTTTATTTTTTTTTCAAAAGAGCAGTCCCTTCAGAGACATCACATGTTCCTCCTCTTTTCTGTTTTGCCTGTAAATATTGTGTGGTAAATAACTGTGTTTACGAAGTGATTTTGTGTATTTAGTTTCTGTTATGTTATGGCTGCAGCAGTGTTCCCTCTCCTCTTTTCTCTCATATGTTCAGGTTGCCTCAGCAAACAAGAAACAGTGAAGTTTACAAAGCACTGTCTGAGGAAAGCATGCAGAGAGCACAGACAAGGAAATATATTTACTTTTACAGCTTATTTACTCGAGTTTGCTTGCCTCCCACACTTGAGCTCCATCTTCACTTCATGCAGATGCATGAATTTGTGTTGCAGTGCAATGCAAATGAAATGTGTGCCAGTTTCTGCCTTAAAGCTGAGATTTCATAACAAGCAAAAATGAGCATGTTAATGTAAAACTGGGAAAACTGCAGAAAATACTAAACAAAGCCAACATGTCCAAGCAGGTGTTTTTATTTATTTCCACTGTTGTGTTAGCAGAATATTTTCAATTTTGTTAATTAATTGTGTAAGAATTAAACAGTAACACGTCACATGTTCCAGCTAAACTTTGGGGTTAAAATGTTGGTTTATTCGGGGATGTAGAAATGGCTGCAGGTGTTTAGTTGCTGGACATTATGGACTTTATCCAGCTGTTGTAGCGACACACACGGGCGTAGACGCTGGGGTGTCCCTGCATGGCACAGTCATAACCCCAGGACACGACTCCCTGCAGCTGACCGCCACACACCAGAGGACCACCAGAGTCACCCTGCAGATGCAGACAAAGAAATAATTGTGTGAAAGTTTATGAAGCATTCACACTATTGTGATCCATTTTTCTTCTGTACGCTTTTCAGTGCGTTTCTCCTCCTGCAGTTTTCAAGCTACTTCAACAAATCAAATATCAAAACATTCAGCTCTTTCAGGACAATCCTGCTATGACTCTTGGTATTGATGCAACTTTAGCTTTTTTTTTTTAAATATTTAGCCTTTTCTGCCATGTTTTTTCTCATGGAAAATGAATTGAGCGCATTTTACATCCTTCAGATCTTTAGATCTGTTTACAACCTTTTATTGCTCCTTTCACATTTTGTTCTGGTTCAGCTTCTTTCATCTTCCTTGTGCAATTTTTAAAAAAATCTGTTTTCAGCTAATTTCAGCTGCTTTGTGCTCCTTTCAGATTCTTTCTGCTAATTACACCGTTTTTGTGCTTCTTCTAAATTTTTTCTGCTAATCTCAGCTTGTTCTGCTCCTTTCAGCTTATTTCTGCAAGTTTCAGCTTTTTCTACTATTTCAGATACTATATAGCTGTTTCATGCAGATTTAAGCTTTTTCAGCTAATTCCACATTTTTTGCACTCATTTCAACATTTTTCAGCCTAATTCAGCAAAAATGTGCTCTCTCCACTTCCTTATAGTAATTTCAGCTTCTTTCTGCCTTTTTAAATACTTTTCAGCTGTTTTTTGTTGTTGTTGCTAGTTTCAGCTTTTTTTCTGGATAATCTCTACTTTTTTGTGTTCATTTCTGCTTCTTTCAGCCTAACTGGGCAAACATGTTCTTTCTGCTTTCTTCTGCTAATTTAATTAATTCAACCTTTATACACGTTAGTCCCATTGAGCCTCGGGGACTCATTTACAAGAGAGCTGAATTTTAACAAAGAATGATGACAACAGTGGACAACAACGACAACAACAGACAATCATAAAGGATGCGTACATTTTTTTTTAACAAGTGAAAATAACAATTGTAACTTTTTTTTTAGCTGATTTCCTTATTTTTGTGCTAATTTTTGCTTATTTGAATCTAATTCAGCAAATATGTGTTCTTTCTGCTTTCTTATGCTAATTTAGGCTTGTTCTTTCATTTCAGCTACATTTCAGCATGTTTTTTTTAGCTACTTTCAGCCATTTTTCAGCAAGTTCTTCTGTAACAAGCATTTGCACTGCATTTTCGCCAGAAATGCAATTTCTCTATTTCTGATTTACAATTTATTTGTTGCTTTTATTTTATTGCACAGAAAGTCCACTAGTCTTCTCTTTTACTGAATTACTACCAAATGCACTTGAACAGTATTTGCACACACTTTGCTGTCAGTTCAGACAGATAAGAGTACTTTTCATTATGCACCAGTCAGCCATAACTTTGACCGTTTGCATACAATGCTGACCAGACCACCCAATTGTTTAAGAGGATAGTCCTTTGAGTCCATTCATTTATTCTGCTTGTGCCAAATCATACTTGCTTCTCACAAAATATTGGTCACCAATAAACATTACATTTGAAGCTTTCTTAGCAGAACATCATACATCGATACTACCACCAGCCAGTGGTCATAAGGTTATGCATGTTAGAGGATAATTTCCAATTAGGAATACATTCTTATTGAATAGTTTATAGCATGAGTTATAAATTAAACTTATTTAAAAAACACAACTGATGTGTTACAGCAAACTTAATTATTTGCCACTCGTGAAAGCGGTGAAGCACTTGCAGTGTTTGCTCACCTGGCAGCTGCTGGCACCTCCTTGCATGAATCCAGAGCACACCATGTTCTCTGTGAAGAGATGGGGGTAGGCGTTCCTGCAGATTCTGTCGTCAATGATTGGCTGCCTCAGACACTGGAGTCTGTCAGGGTAGCTGCCTGGGAAGTGAGAATCATCGTGGTTTACTTGTATATTGGAACACCAACGCAGTCCAGTTTCATTTAAATTCAAAGTATAAATAGTAGAAAGTGAAATTTGTAATTTAGAGAATGGGACATTAACAGTTTTAGGATTAAGGTTAAAACTGTATCACATGGTAGGTTTTGAAAGTGTTGGACAAATTTTACGAGTTAAAAATTAATGATAGGGATTCACTGATATTGTTTCACTCAGACGATCAAAAAGTTGCAACAATTTGGACAGTTTGCCATGATACCATTGGAAAAAACTGGCTGAATTTTACTGGTTATAACTGAACGCCTCTCTCTGAACATTAAGGCTCGTCTAAGGTTAAAACAACTTCCTGTTGCCTTCTAATGTTTCAGTACAGTTAACAGTGACCTCAGAGACTTTTAACCTCTTCTCTGACTCCACTCACTTCCGCTGGCAGACGTGTTGCCCCATCCGGACACCAGGCAGTTCTCGTCGGCCACGGGGCAGCGGGAGGGCAGGGACACCGTCTGGACGTAGCCGTTGAGGGTGGCAGGGCGGCTCAGCTTGATCAGCATGATGTCGTTGTCCAGGTTGTAGCTGTTGTACTGAGGATGCCTGATCAGCTTGGCGGCGTCAATCCACTGCTCGGTGCCTTCGTTCACAGCGATGTTGTGCTCACCAAGACGCACCTGGAGGTAGCTGGTAAAGACAAAAAAAAAAAAGAAAAGAAAACTTAAACACCATGCTCCCTTATTTCAATACTCCTGCTGCTTGAAAAACATCCTGAAAAGTATCAATTTTAAATTATCTGATCCACCGGATGGATTTTATGAAACATCGGAAAGTAATAATTTAATATAAGTGACCTTATCGTACATAAAAATGGCTATAACTCAATAAATTTTACAGCTGTTGAGCTAAAGTTTGGTGTGGTAGTAGCTGAGACTCATCCCCAAAACATACAACATTAACTGCTGGCATCAACATGGTCTGTTAGCAAAATATCTTATTAACCACTAGATTGAATTTAGTTAGACTGGACTTATTTGGAGGCAACGCAATACAAGATGGCCTCCGCAGCTAATCGCCATTAGCCGAAACAAAAATGGCGGTAACGCAGTCAGTTTTACAGATATGAGCTCAGATTTGGTGTGGTAGTAGCTAAGAGTCATCCTCAAAACATGATCTGAGCAGTAGACATTGTGCAACGTCTTTGCTGAAAACTTTGACACTAAATGTTATATTTAAACACAGACTTTAGCAAAATATTTTATTCACCAAATTTAGTATTTGGTGTAGTAGTTGAGTCAACCTCAACACATATGCTGAGCTCTGGCAGATCTTGTGAGATCATAGTGCATGAGATTATGCATAAGAAGGTTTGATAAGATGCATTTGTTCAAATAATGCATTTTTTTATTACTAAGTGCTGGAAATTAATTTATACTTTTGTATCCAGCCCTGTTGCTCATCCTGGCTTTGCTCGTGTGTAATAATCTCTCACTGCAAATAATACATTGGTCAAAATGTGTCTTCTTGCACTTACGACTGGTAGCAGTGAGCAGCGGAGATCACCCACAGGCTGGAGATGAGAGATCCACCACAGAAGTGGTATCCAACGTTCAGAGACACCTGGTAGGGAACAGAGTTTCTGGGACACTCGTATCCCCCGACAACCTTCTCATCCTCAGCTGCAGCAACTGGCAGAGCAAGTGATTTAATGTGTATAACATTAAAAAAAGAGTAAAACATACAGGCACAAAGCAAGCAATGAGCAATCTCAGTGGGAGTAAGTACACAAATACAAATAAAAAATCTGTTTCTTACATGCTGCTTTAAGAAAAAGCAGGAACACCAGGGCCTTCATGTTGACGTCTGGATGTGACTTCGGCTCACACTGGAGCTCGTTTTAAACTCCCGTCCTGCTGTTTGCATGTCATACTTCTCACAGTTCACGAGGCAAGAAGTGATGGGAAAGAGCCATATGGCTGCAGGCATCAGAAAACCTTGACTGATGTTGAAAAAGAGACAAGCTGCCACTTCAGGCAAAATTCTTGATTTGATGTTATGTAATCAGCCATTACACTGAAGTCTGTTTCAGCAGAAGCTGTTTAAAGTTTGCTGATCAGAAACCATGACAGTTTAGGTTTTTTTTTTTTGTGCATTATGGGATAAAACAGTCGTTTCGTGTTGTTTGGTTAGAAATATTTTAACAGAGGATTTGTTCAAAAGTCGAAGTCAACTCAGCAGCAAGAACATCCATCGTGATTCCCAGTAAACCATCTAAAACCTGATAAGATAACCTCTGGTTACAGACCCTTAAAGTGGTCAGTCAGTTCTGTGGAAAGGTTATAAACAATATCTTACCTGTTGTAGGACGATTGAACCTGCTTAGAGAAACAACATTTAATTGTGACTGGATTAATGAGCTTAACAGCTGGTTCACAAGATTTAGAATTACTTTACATAAATTAAAGGCTGTGTGTAGTTAAAAGTGTGCATGCATGCTGCTGTTCAGACCAGTTTTAACGCGCAAAAAACAATTACCGGTAAATATTTTACTAACTGGAGAAATGCCGAGTTTCAAATGACTGCTGAAATTTGCTGAGGAAGCTGCAGAACATTAACTAAAAATGATAAAAGCTAGCAAAGTGCTAACTACAATGAGCAAAAAAATGAACAGCTAAAAACTAAAACAGCAAAAGCTAATGTATTGGAACTGTAGCTACAAGCTAAATGGGACAAAAGGCTAACTAAAATTTAGCTGTGCCAAAAGGCTAAAACTCAAAGTAGCAGAAGTAAAAACTTAAAAGTAGCAGCGGATTAAAACGAAATAACAGTACAAGCATGCTGAAGAGTTCAGAAAATGTTTTAAAAGAAATTCAAGATTTAAATGCATGTTTGTGGGGAAATATTTGTAAAGTTAGACAGGCTGAAAAGTATCAAATTCAAAAAAGCCAAAAATCCTTAACCCGTCATCTGAATAAGCTTTAATTTATAAAAGTCTAAAGAACGTACAAAACATGGAAGTGCATATAAAAGGTACAGAAAATGGTAAATCTAAAAGCGTGTGATTTCATTTTAGCATCTTTAACAAGTTTGGCTGGTTAAAAACACTAGCAAGAGGTGAACTTTGAACACGTTTTTATTGAACATAAATAAAAAAAATGAAGGTAAAAAAATACGTAACAGGTTTAGAAATTTTTTGTACAACTATTTACAAGCACAAGATCATAGTGAGCTTTTAGGTTTAAAAGAAATTTGCACAAGAAATTTATTCCAACCAAAAGTTCCCTACCCTCGTATACAACCAATATCTGGATGTGGTTCTTCAATGAGCTCCTGTTCATAATAATTTTCAACTTTATTAGTATTTTTGTATCATCAATGTATGATGATTGGGGGGAGTAATTGGGTGAAAGTGAGTTATGTTTAAGTATAATTACAAAATCTTGCTTCATAACACAGTTGAGGTAGCTCACCTGAGACAACCATGAACAGGAGAAAAGGGTATAAAAAAAGGAAGTTTTATTTCAGTAAATCAGCTTTCACTTATAAATCGCAGCTGAAAAGCTCAAACACATTTTTATCATTTTGTGAAATAGACATTTATTGTTCAAATATACAAAAACTCATGGACTGCAGGGTAAGATCACCCCTTTTTTGAAAAGTCACGCTTATGAGCGTTAAAATGCACAACAGAATGACAAGAGAACAGAATATAACTGTGGGATAAAAACACTCAGATCGGCTCGGACAAACAAGATGATTAATAAAACATAACATTTATTGGGGGGGGGGGACCTCACCAGCACCTGAAATATCAAAGTCCCTGCTCACCAGTGAAGTTAAAATGTAGCTGCTCTACAAACGTACACAAGGTGCTTCGAGTGTAATGTGTTTACTTTGTGTGGAAATGAAAACGTGCCCTGCCTGCTGCGACGGCGATGCTGCCAGGGAAGTTTGTGCCAAAGTAAGGTGCCGAAAAAAAAATTCCCCTCGTCCTCCTCTTTGACCTCCTGTTCGCAGAGACGCGCCGTCTGCAGCACAGGAGTGAATCCCTCTTTACAAAGTAATGACTGCAATCAGCTTCTGCTCACCGTTTGTAGGTGTGGGTAATAACCAGTCCAGACCCGGAGGTCACCAACACCTGAAGAGCGTGACAGGAAACGACAAAACAGTACAGAAAACCTAAAAACACTACAACTATCCACCGCTCTGATACCATCGAATTCGTCCCCAGATGTCATTGATGGCTCGTTTTTTACGACTCCGTGTTTCTATTCTTCTAATAGCTTCAACGCCGCAGCCTCCTTCAGGTTAACGGTACTAATTGAGGTAGCGGCGGCACCGCCTCGCACCGCAGTTGCAGCGCAGCTTGCTCTCGTCGTCCTCGATCGGGAACTTGTAGTCGTAGGTGAGCTCTTCACCCCGGTAGATCTTCCTCAGCGCGAAGATTACGATGTGCTTGCGGCCGTCCACGTTGATGACGCGGGAGTAGCAGTTCGGCTCGCAGGAGTGGTTGATGAAACGAGCAGCGTTGCCTTGGATTGTTGCGTCCACCACGTCGAAGTCGTCGATGCGGAACATGTAGCAGCCGATGCCCTGGTGGAAAATGACAAACACTAATTCTTTTAGCCACTACAAGTTATGATATTCACTTAATTCCAAACTAAAACTGAATATCTTCTGCAATTTTACTGAATGCATTGGCTCGAGTTCTGCTCATCGAATAGCGTTGAAAGCCTGAATATCCTTTTCTACTTCTAGATGCACTGAGTGTGCGCTTCTGTTATCTACTCTAACTGGAGAGGACACTGCTCCTCGTCTTGTTTGGGGTAGGACCTACTTCACTTGCTCACTCCTGCTAAAAAGGACTTAAAAGCCTTATCACAACTTACCGTATTTATTAGTATATAATGCGATCCCTCATTTTTTTTTTAGCTTAAAAAGCATAAAAAATCTAATCCTTGTATAATTCTACACCTAATTTCATACAAATGTCAAGATTTTTCAGCCATCAGTATACTTATCAATGAAATGATCATATGATGATTCTTGTATGATTTTTATTTATTTTATGTTAACAACGCCGGCGTTTAGAGCGTGAACACATGTTCTAGCAGAAGACTTTGTACAGTCAACCAGAGGGTGCTAGGGGGAAGCACTGCTAGGGTGGTGATGTTACCTGTGGCACTTAGCTTTACTTAGCTTTGCATAACTTTGTGTAAGTCACTATTCTCCTGTACACGTTTTGTGTGGTGGAAATTTACACCTGTGTATAATAAGACCCCCCCCAAATTGATGATTTATACATGAATAAATACGTTAGTTGGCCAGGAGGCTATTAATGCTAAACTGGAACTCTGCAGCTCCAACAACAAGCCGGATTAGAGGTCCTTTATTTTCTTAAATTTGGAAAAATCAGACATTTAAGGCTGCATCATTTGAAATAACCTGAACCCCCTTTTTGTTCTACGTTCACAGTACAGGTTGTCAAATAATTCTGAACAGAGTACCACAGCCATGTGTCTTAATGTGTGTGTGTGCGCTCAAGGTTATACAGTAGTCCCTCGCTACTTCGCGGTTTGTTTATCGAGGACTCGCTGTAGCAGCACAGTCAGCATGGATTTTTAAAATTTAAAATAATTTTAAAAAATTTAGCACCTGCTGCACATTTGTGCAACCCATACTGCAGGATAAGCTTCCTGCTGCAGCTGATCAGCGTTCTCCATGCAGAGTGGAGAAGTGGGTGCTGCCATGAGCACTTGCAGGCGGCAAAGAGCAGATGAGGCAGAGCTGAAATCATAACAATCTGTGCTCTTTTAAAGGGTTTAGAAACGTTGTTTAAATTATTGCAAGAGTATGGGAAGGGTTTAAAATGCCTCAATATATTTATATACAAATACTAAAAGAAACTACTACTTACTACTTGTACTATTATCTCTACTTCACTGTTTTTCACTTATCGCTGGTTTTCAGGGTGCGATAAACGAGGGACTAATGTATATAAAAATACAAAAATAAACTACTTACTACCTGTACTACTATTCCTACTTGGCGGTTTTTCACTTATCGCGGGTCTTCAGGGTACAGCTCCCATGCAATAAACGAAGGACTACTGTGCAGTAAAAATATATTGACCCACGCCTACATTGTATCCATCCATCCATTTTCTTTACCCACTTGTTCCATTTTGGGTCACGGGGGTCGCCGGTGCCCATGTCCAGCAATCTGTGCGAGGGGCGGGGGACACCCTGAACGGGTCGCAAGTCCATCACAGGGCCACAGAGAGACAAACGAGACAAACAACCATTCACTCTCTCACTCACACCTAGGGACAATTTAGAGTTACCAATCAGCCTAACATGCATGTTTTTGGTCTGTGGGAGGAAACCCACGCATGCACGGAGAGAACATGCAAACTCCACCCAGAAAGGCCCCTGGACCGGGGTTTGAACCAAGGACCTGCTTGCTGAGAGGCAGCAGCTCTACCAGTTGCGCCACCGTGCTGCACGCCTACATTGTATTTCAGCTTTAATTTTTTTTAACCAATTTGAGCATTTTGTGCTGTTTCTTGATTCAACATGATCTTTCCTCAAGCTAACTTTTACTGTAGAGTTGAGTCAGCTCATCTGCAGAGGAGCTCAGCATTGAAAATCTTGTTGCTCTGTCATTCTTCTCAAGCTGCTGATAGAGCTGTCACTCTTCTCAGAGCGCATAACGAGGGGTTGTACCAGCAGCTGCAGCACGAGGAGATCAGCTGCCTACACTTTGTAGAAAATCTTGTAAGCATGTGTCTGTTTGCATCACAGCATGTGGTGAGATAATTCTTGCATGCAGCTCCACCTGGGAAGTTGACACGCTGTGAACCCTGCCTTATTAGTTTTTTTTGTTTTTTTTTACCTAAAAGAAAAGATCAACTAAAGAGAGAAACTAAACATTATTTTAATTAACTGATGTGAAGTTGCAGTTTCAGCAAACTTCTCATAGTTAAAAACATTTTACTTGTGGAAAAGGTGCTATAAATTCACAGAACTAGACAGAGTTTAACGACCCAATCTCTAACTAACCTTGCTGTCGTAGTATTTCTCTCGTTTATCGGTCAGAACAGCGCGAATGACCGTGCCGGCATATTCGATCACCATCTCTCCAGAATCGATGTTTCTTTTACAGAAGAGTCCTCGACCGTGAATTGCAGATCTACGAAGCAAAGAGAGAAATTCACGAGTTAATAATGCAACCATGGATCAAGTTTGTTATTTTTCTTTGTTGTTGTACTTACCTGTAAACGCCCACTGCTTCTTTAGAGATCTTTTCCAGGTGTCTGAACCTCATCGCCATGGGGAGCTCGGTGCTAGTAGCTCGCCTGAAAAGAGGGAAATAAAAATGTTTATGTTTTCAACATGGAAAGACATCTGCTACTTTCTTTTAGGCAGGTTCCAAATAAAATAGACAAGTGGCAATGATTTCAGTAACTAACCTAGAGGCTTTGAAGGGAAATTCATCATCATCTTCATCGAAGGGACCTATAAAATCAGGGAGAGCTCTGTGTTGTGACGCCAGGAAGTTGAACATGTCAAACGTTGCTTTCCTGGATAAAATAAAGGGGGGGGGGGGGGGGAACAGCATAAGTGTCTATTGAAGCGTCTGTTAAAAGTATTCATGTGCTTTTAAAAGCAGAAATTGTGTCCGCACCGTGTGTAGACTTCTGTTCGTGCGCAGCCGCTTGGGTTGAGAGGCAGCTCCTCCTCGACGTCGTCACAGCGGTGGAAACGGAAGCGGTGCTGTCTGCAGTGAGTGGCGCCTTCCAGCTGCTCCAGCAGGAAGATGACGGCATCGTGGACGACGCCAAGCATCCGCGGCCCGCTCATCACGCCCAGAGGAAGCTGCTTCAGGTGGAAGTCTGCTCGGGCTTCAAGCACGCCGTCAATCACAGCACGCCAGGCAACTGAAGAAGAGATAACGGAGTATGGTGAGACACACACAGCTCTTTTTTGCATGAGATATGTTTTTAAATTTGAATATTGGGCAAACAAGGCTATTTATAAAGTAACAAAACATCTCCTACCCTCTATGCTGTTAGCCTTAACGCTAAAGCCATCCTCGCTGGTGATTTCAAAACGCAGGTGAGGCTGATTCATACGCGTCTTCTTTCTGTTTTTCAGTGCCGAGACTTCTTCTTCTGAGCTAAAACCTGGGGATTAAGGGCAAATAGGGACCATTTTTTACCTTTTCTTCATATATATTCAATATTTACATAGAAAGAAAAAATAATACAACCCCAAACAAACCTGTATAGGGGCCCCACTCAGACAGGTCTCCGTGGCGAGCGCTGACCCAGGTGTCCGTTTTAACCTTGGGATGAGGGTTGGATTGTGGGAATGAAGGTGAACTTGGAGCCCGAGGATGCCTGGACAAAAGGCACAGATGAGAGCACGAAAAACAACTTGTAATCAAATACATTTAAGGAAAATGTCAATAGTCAATTACCGCATTTTTCATCGTACACGTCGCTAGGCCCTATAAGTCGCATCAGTCCAGATATGTCTAATAAAGTGGAAAAATTCATAAATATGTCACTTTGTCGTATACGTTGCATCTATTATGCGTCACCGCTGATGCTTCGCGTTTGTTACACGTCACCGCTGACCATCCGGAAATGTGGGCCGGTGTTGTGCCAAAAATCGATGGGCTGCCAAATGGCAGCAGTGGGAGCGTGCACAGGAGGACTTTAACAAGAATTTAACAAGATTAACACTTAAAAACAATTATTTGTTTGCTTGAAATTATAGTAAAGGTGTGTCTCAGTCTAACTTTTGCTTAATAAATGCACTTTGAGGGTCAAATCAGCTTCATTTCAAAACTCGATACGTGGAAACATGAACGCGCAGAGGGCAACTCACTATTTATTAGAAATTTAACAATATAACTACCTAAAACAATTATTTGCTTGCTCGACTTTATAGTAAAGGTGTGTCTCAGTTGAACTTTTACTTAATAAATGCACTTTGACGGTCAAATCAGCTGCATTTCACCGGGACGGCGCAGCGAAATTAAGCTGATTCGGTTGCTCTAGGCAGACGACAGTGGCAAGCTATGGCAAGCCAATTGTGTCATTATTAGCCACGTTTACTTATTACATGATACAATGGCATGCCTTACTATTCAACTGCCATCTAGTGGCTGAAAATGGTAGTGTTCAATATTTTCAGTCAGAATGAATGAAAACGGTCATATCTCAGTCAAAAATTGGTTTATAAATATGGGAAAAATCCATAAATCTGTCGCTTCGGCCTACAAGTCACAGGACATGCAAATTATGCAAAATAAAATAAAATAAATCCACGACTTATAGGATGAAAAATACGGTATTTAAATTATTATCACCAAAGAGCAACAATTTGCTTCTTTTGAACTTGACAGCACAGCAACCAGTTTTTATATAAAGTTTGCAATAAAGCAAACTCACCTGCATGGCATGGGAGGTTTAAGAGGAGCAGGAGGTGGTGAAGCTGGGCTCTTCACTGGCTCAGGTTCAGACATGATCTCCTGATTCAGGTCAAGGACTTCATTTATCGTTGGAGCTTTCATTCTAACACTTTTTGCCCTGAAAAAAAAAAAAAAAAAGACGGCAATTCCTCAGTTTAATATCGCAGAGAAAATATAGTCTCACTTGGTGGCTAAAAGGAAAGTAATTGAGGTTATAAATTATTTAAATACCTGGTTTGCTGACCTTCCTCCGGTTCATTTGACGGAATCTTCAAAATATCCATTTTAGATTTTTTCCTGGAAGGCTTTTCCGATGCAGAGGACACTCTTTTTACTCGAACTTGATGGCGTTTTGATTCCCCACTAAAAACACTGGGGGACTCTGAACGCTCCACCGATGATTGCTCTGAATTATCTGTGCATGGAACTTGGGATGGTCTTCGACTTCTGGTAATTAGCTGCTGAGTATTGCTTAGAATGATGGTTCTTGGCTTTGGCGCATCACGGTGAGTAGCCATTGCTTTGTTGAGAATAGCTTGAGCTGTGCTTTGTTCAATGTTGGAAAAACTCAGTTGAGGAACAGTTTCCACACTAACAGGAGCTAGGGGAGGGCTGCTTTTCACAGGTAATACTCTGAAGATTATTTTCTTCTCTGCTGTCGTGTGGTTGCTAGCAGGAGGGCTGTTCAGGTCAGACGGGCTGGGCTGAGGCTTTGTTACGACACAAGGAACAGACGGATTAAAAGTGTTTCCGCTGTGGAGCATTTTAGCGATTTGGCTTATCTTGTTGTAAGCAGGTGTGGTTGCAGTAAGTGTCTGAAACATGTTTGTTCTCGGGTCTTTGATGAGAATCTGCCCCTGACGGTTGACGAGTAGGACCTGACGGACAGGAGTCTGGGGAGTGGGCAAGCCTGCCACCTCAGCCTGATTCTGAACCACCTTCGGCTGTACTGGCTTGGGATTGTCCAAGCGAATTGCAATGGTTCTGCCCCGTATGGAACCAGGCTGAACAGGTAAAGTGCTTAAACCATTGATTATGATAGGGGAGGAGACTGGGCGCGGGACTGTGCAGAAAGTAGCAGAACCGCGGGGAGAAATATTTACAGTCTGTCTGGGTCGAGCGGCCAAGACATTGACTGTTGGCTGGAGATGAAGGTTCTGTTGTGGCAACAGAAGCTTAAGGTTTGATGTAGGCTGTTTTTTCTTCACCATAATGGGTTTCTTGATCATTGGTTGTTCGAACGCTGGATGAAAATCAGCATCACGCAAATCATCTTTATATCCTAAAGACAGGTCTGATGATGAAGAACTGTCATCTATGGCCTGAACTTTACTGTGCATTGCGTTCACTACGGGGCTCTCTGCAGCTGAAACAAAACGCCCCGTCTCTGAATCCAGAAACACTTCATCGTGAGATGTTGGTGTGTCTGGGGTCATCTGGACCTCCTCTTCTTGTAACGACACGTCATTGCTGATGCAACTTGAATCCATAAAAACGGGAGAGGATAAACTTTCTTGTGACTCTGGCTCAGTAGTTTGGTGCTCAGTGTTTAGTTTTGGCAAAGTGTAGATTCGCTCCAGCCTCGTCAGATTAACTGTTAGACGTTTTGTAGGTGTGGCGTGAACAGTGTGAATTTTGGTTTGTCCTTTGAGCACCTTGCTTTCCTCACTCTCTGACCCGCTGTCAGCCCCATCCAACTGTGATATTGAAGGTGCAGAAGGAGGCTGACTGGAGGCGTCTGAGCTACCTGCTGCATTACTCACAACCGTACGGGTAAATTTGACATAATGACTCAAGTCTTCATCGTCGGAGTCTTTGTCCCGATCGTCTTTCTGTGCTCCACCTTCCAGCTCTCTAGCGCTGGTAGGAGTCACATTCTCAGCAAGGAGAGCCTCGTCAAACTCAAGTTTAGTGTTCAGCATAGAGGCCACTGCTACATCTGCGTCAAAAACCGTGTAAGGCAGCTCCTGAGACATCAGGTGGGCTACTTCCTCCTCCAGGTTACCAGGAGCAAGAGAGATCCCATTTGTTGTGGCCACAGCTGCATCTTCTGCCTCAGACAATGCCAAGAAGTCTTGGGGAACCTCTGTGGACACCAGGGTTGTGATTTTAAAGTTTTGTGTTCCTCGGGGGGAGTGAGAGATCGCCCCTTGTCGAGGTGAAAGCCCCGGAGAAACACTGGCGTTGGATTTAGAAGGGGAGTTCCAAACCGGAGATGTTGAGTTTTGCCGTGAGAGCGGAGGAGAGGCGGATCCTACGTTTGAAGATCTTGGATGAGAGCTGAACAAAGCGGATCTGGAGCTTATGGAGCGAAGACTCGTCGGTACAGGCGGGCTGCTTTCTGTCGGCGAGGAGCTGCAGCGTCGTCTTGCTGAGAGCCTGCGAGGACGACGAGGGTCATCAAGGTCCCTCAGTGTCAGGATGTGATGAGATTTATGAGCACAGCCTGACGTTGAAGAAAATAAAATCCCAGGATTCACACAAACTACCAACAAAAAAAAAAAGACGAGATAACTGCTCATTTTCCTAAACGTGTGACTCACCTGGAGATGGAAGAGGACGTGATGATCCTCCTGCAGGTCTCCTGGTCTGAGAGTAACCAGGACTTTTGGAACCAGGTGTGTTGTGTATTTTGGAGTTGGGCGACGGGGTTGCAGACTTGACTGGGCTGGAAGAGGAGCTTAAACAATCTGGGGACTCCATATCTGCCAAACAATGTGCACAGATATATTAGTATCTCCAATCAAAATGTTGCAAATCATTGAATAATTTAGCCACTTCTATACTGGAGCAACCTGGGAGATCCGGGTCATCTCTGAGGTGGTTAGGGCTGTGGATTATGGTGTGGTTCTCTTCTTTGTCCCACCTCAGATCTTGTTCTTCACCAGGGAGAGGTGAGCTCACTTCTGTCACCTTACAGGTGTACTTACAGTGTCTCCGGGGGTCCACAGTACTCCAGTACAACCGAGAACATCTACGGAGTAGATAGAAAGAACGTTTTGTAAAAAAAATAAATAACAATTACAGCAAATTTTGAAGCATGTTGAGAACCAGTAAGGAAAGGCACAATGTTACAAGCACATACAGTCACTTATATATTATTTTTACTTAAATATGCAAATAAAATAACATTTAATGTGAAAAATTAAATGCAATGTTGCAGAGAAAATTAAAAACTTGCAATTAATCCAGCTTAAAATGTTAAAACTTGCTGATGTTCTGACATTGAGCACTTACTGATAACCAACGGGATACAGCATCCTCCCAACTGTAGACAGCTCTGACAACACACCGAGTTTCTGAATCTGCAGAGAACCTGACAAAGTTGGGAAGCAAAACCCAAAAGTTCAGCGCACGACCATCAACAGCAGTAACGTGTAAGAAAACACGTGAAGCTTAAACTAACAGCACACATGCGTTCTCACCAATTGTCATGTTTATGTTTTCTGGCTCAATGCCGGTGAGAAACTTTTTTCTGAGATTGATCCCCTCAAAGTCCACATACACCCGGCGAGGCACTTCAAACCCTTTTCCTGACACAGTCTGAAAAATATGATGAGCAATAATAAAAATAAAGTACAAAAAAACTACGTGTGAGATGTGTTTTGTTAAACTCTGGAGTGGTACTTTATCCCTTAGAATAAGCATTTATATTGGAGATTTTTTTTTAATCTATGAGGTCCATATCCGTACCTTTGTGCTGAGGAGATCCTTGTGTGCGTAGCAGTACACTTTTCTGTCCTGCTGGAACACACACCTATTGGCTCGAGCGCACATGAAGTGAAAATTACTCTGGCAGTTGGCGAGGTAGCAGCCCACGGTGGCTCCTGATTGCCCGCAACGATCACAACGCTAAAAAAGGAGAAGATATTAGAATTGCATTTAAATCTCATTCATGCAACAATTACAAAGCATCACACCTTACCAAGTAGCGCCCCCTTGAGACAGCACTGTGCACCTGCAATAGAGCACCATCCTTCTCATAAACCTCTGCAGACCACAGGCAACAGTTGATGTGAGCCCACTCATTTTGTCCCAAATACAACAGCCGCCCTGCCTCCTATCAAGACAAGAAAATAAAACAGTCACATGGCTAAAACGATTAAAAAATTAATTAAAAGAAACAGAGGCCTTTTTTATTCCGACGCAAAGAAAGCGACACAAAGTTCCTATAAAAACTCACATTTGAAGCTGCGTCTCCATTTTGCTGGCACAGGACACACTGCCTCAAATCTTTAGTCTTAGTGGATTCTGCAAGAAAAACAACCTTACTTAATTTTTCCCAAATTGAAAAAGGTGAGCTGTACAGATGTTATTCCACTGCAAAAGTTTACCTGCTACTGGCTAATCCAGAGGTTTTGAGTAGAAGAGGCAGACTGGGATAGTTTTCATACCTTGTGAATAAATGGGGGTGTTGAGCAGTGCACCAGATTCCTGTGTGAGGTCTGAAGATGGCTTACAGTCAGGCTGAGTCTGCAGGACCCTGGAGTCTCTGGGCTGGTATGTCTTCTCCATCCACTGTGCATAACTATGCTCTTTAGAAGGAGGCAGGACTGCCTCTGGGAGCATGCCACTGAAGAGCAGAGGACACAGTTATTTTGCTAAAGTGACCACCAAAAGGCTATAAAGGATGTTTCAAGGGAACATATTTTGATTGTGTGTACTCACTTTGGAAACTCTTCAGAAAAGGAGTTCCACTTTTTGAGATGGCACGTAGGGAACCAACTAAAGACCAGCTTCATCGCCTGTAAGGAGTGCAGAACTCAAGTTAGATCAAATGCAAATGGTTTTAAGAAGAAGCAACATGTTTTAACAAAAAGGAAGCTTTCTCTTGGAGATCAACAAAAATTGTGGGCTTACTTGGACATAGTGTGATCTGGACTGTACGGTCGGTCTCTGATCTTCGGGGAGAAGTTCCTCTTCCTTCAACCATTTTCTCAACACAGCAGCAACATCCAAATGAAAGGCTTTCTGAATTAGCAACAAGACAAAAAGATTGCTTTAGTCAGGAGTCAAAGTAGATTTTATGACTACTTTCATTAGGTAATCCAATTGAAATGTTACAAGTTTTAAACTGAGAAAATCTGAGCTTTCTCTTTGAACGTCAGCTTTTGTATTCATAAGAATAAAAAAAAAAACATGCATCCACTCACTACTGAGGCGTAGCCACCTCCTTTAAATTTCTTCTCCACAGCTTTCAGATCACAGACATGTTGCTGTTCCTGAACAGCTGGAGTTGTGTTCACTTCCCGACACTGAAACGGAAATGATATATCGGACATTCATTTACGAAAAAAAGGGATAGAAACTTAAAAAGAACAAAACTACATTTTTGAATTGATAGGATTACTGATGTTCTCTGGACACCACGTCTCACCTCTTTACAGAGCAGGAGGTGCTGAGTGTTGCTGGACGAGAGGAGGTCAGCGAGCACCTCCTCCAGCCCGGCCATCAGCTTCCTCTGCAGTTCTTCCTTCAAGCTGCTTTGTTCAATGTGGTGCTGTTTGCATGGGGTGCACGTAAAATCCATGCTGCCTGGCTGATTTAGCAGCCCGAAAAACTCTTCTATAAAAAGCAAAACATGTTTACCTACTATATCATAAAACAAGTAGCCCATTTTCATTAAACGTTACATTTAGACATTTGAGAGCTAATATGAAAGAAAAAAATAGTATAAAGTGAGATAAGTCAGATAATTTGCTAACCATCAATTATTATCTAATAAAAAATATTTACTACAGTGTTACCAAACTGTTGTGAATTTTAAACATCACATCTTTAAGAACATAAATAAAAAAATAAAAAAATAAAAGTAAATCTCATAAAATGTTTGCATTCATTAATACTGAGCAGTGGTTATTGTATAATAAAATTAATACCCGGCATATTTTGTGCATGTATTTCACAAACAATCTGTGCATTATCCTTATTAGACTTTATGTAAAGTAGTAAAGAAGCAGGCAAAATTAACTCCATCTCTGAATTTACCATGAAACAATAGTATGTCTTTATTCCAATAATAGTATAATTTAAAAATACTAAATTCAGCAATCAGACAGCAGAAACTTTTAATGTTTAACTAACAAGAGTTACTCACCTGAAAGTTCTTCACATTCATAATGAATCCAGTGGCTGCACTTTGAGCACTGCATCGTCTCCGGGGGTTGGCTGTGCTCTTCATAACATTTGTGGCAGACGGTGCAGAAATGACCTGACATAAAGTAAACAACATCAATCATGTCTGGTGCCAAACACTCAGAATATAAACAACTTCTTTAACCAGCCCGTGAGTAAATCTCAAGCAGTTCCTAGTATGTTGTCGTGAAGCTCTTACCTTTCTTGTGGAGAGCGGTGCAGTCGGGACAGAGGTCTTGTTCGTGGTTCCAGGTCATCCCCCAAGTTTTTCCAGGAGTCACGCCACAGCTCTTACAGCGAATGCACGTCATGCACACCTGCACAAACACGTAAACAAAATAAATATCCAAGATACACAAAGTGACTTTAATATTTGCCTTCTCTTAATATCCCAAGAATAAAGAAGGTTTCAGTTTCAATGGTTATTAAAGTGGTTACCCAGGGAATGGAGCAGTTTATTGGCTTTGGGTATGTTGGTCCCAGGCAGGAAGGATGATAAGAGGTTTGGCATCTTCTGCACTGCAACACAGGCTGAAAAAAAAAGATACATCAATATTGGTTTAACTTCCAAATTACCAAATGTTCTACACCAGGGCTATTCAACAAAACTGCTCAGGGGTCCCCGGTTTCTGAAAGCCAGCAGCTCATGGGCTGGAAATCCAGGAATTAAAGTCATTATTCAAATTCAAATTCAAATTCAAAATTCAAAAATACTTTATTAATCCCAAAGGGAAATTATTTTGTTGTTGTAACTCGTTTATGTAAATAAACCAAGTATTAAAATGATCTGTTACATTTTAAATTGGTTTTATTGCATTGAATGAAATAAACAGACCTATTAACTCATTGGTGGGCCAGACTGAAGTCACCCGCGAGCCGGAAGTGGCCTGCGGGCCACCAGTTGAATAGCCCTGATCTATACTATTATGTTTATAAATACAATTACAATTTCAAAACAAACATGAAGACAAAACAAATAAATAAATTTTCATCATAAATTATTTCTTGCAAGTTTGCAACAAAACACAAATGTTTCCTTCAGCATCAACAGTGCACACCTTGGAGCTCTTGTTTCTACGGCCGCACACGTTACAGAATTTGCAGCGCCTGCAACTCCAGTTCTCCTTAGACTCCTCCAGGGGGCACTCCTCAGGTGGGAGGCAAAAAATGTGGAAGGGTTCACAGCAGATCTGGCAGAAAATCATCTGACAGAAGCAGGAAATTTTGGTTTAGAAAAAAATAATCATTGTATCAAAACAAACAAGTGAACACATTATGATTGTTAAAGCGATGAAGCACCTCCACCTCATGTCTTCCTTTACTGGCGCACAGCAGACAGATGGGCAGAGGAGTCGATGTGACAGAGGTGAGAACGCTGAGACCGCCCATCAACCAGACGTTCTGGACTGCACAGTCCTCCTGCAAAACAAAAGCATCAGTACAGTGACCCGGAATTTTTACAGATTAGCTTGGCGATAATTAAACAAGCTATGTTATTTAATTTGAATATAAAATAAAAAGATGTATTAATCCTAACTGCATAACCTTTATGACGAGTTGTAGTATTAAACATGCATGATGCTCTAATCCCCAAATGACACTGTAAAATGTGGACTTTTTTCAAGCCAACAATGTTCAGTCAGGTCATCTGGGCGTTTTCTTTTTGGTGCCGAGATGTTTCGCCCTCCATCCGAAGGGCTTAATCAGTCTGAGGAATAATAATAATAATAATAATAACAATAATAATAATAATAATGTCATCACAATGTCAGCACTGTATGTTTCCATACAATGGCGAAATTAGTCTCTGCATTTAACCCATCCACCACCAGGTGGTGCAGTGGGCAGCTATTGAAAGCGCCCGGGAGGCATTTTGGGGATGAGGCGTGCTGCCCAGAGACGCCACGTGATGTGCAGTGACTGGGGATCGAACCTGGGACTTTTGGGTCCCAAGCCGGCTGCCCTGCCTCTACACCATCTCGGCCCCCATGAAACACCAAACTGAACGGATTCTCCACCAATAGCCTACTCCAAAGTGGAAAAAAAAAAAAGTGGAGGTTCGGATGGAGGGCAAAACGTCTCTGCACAAAAAAGAACCATCCAGATGACCTGACTGAACACTGTTGGATTTTATACCTGGATTATTGAGCATGGACTTTAGTGACTTTTTTCAAGCATACAAAATATCAAAATGGAAATGTACCCTGTTTTTTTTTTAAATTATTATTTTTGTGCAGTCCCTTAACAGTGAGCATGATCAAAGTTGGTCAACTCCTGCACATGTACTTTAACTTTAAACATTAACTTGACTTTCTTTGCACTTTTGTGCAATAACCAAGTAATGTAATGTAAGTAATGTAAGTAATAACTAATATACTAAGATATATAACATAAATTAAATGATTGTGTATTTCTTTACATGCTATAATAGTGGAATATAAAATAGTGATTGTATTATTTTATACTGCAGAGTTTCTAAAAAGAAATGTTTGGCATTTAAAAAATGAATAAGTTGTAAATCTGGTGTGAACTAGTGATTTGTGATATTAAAATACTGTCCGTCTCTGGAGCAAAAACTCACCTTGAAGTCCACACGGATCTTGTGTTTGCTCTTCAACACGCCCCTTTGGGGAAATCCATTAGTTATTCCTGTCAGGGTGTTCACTGATGCACACTCAGCAGGATTCTGGGAATGAAGGACATATTGTGGGTCAGTTCTTGGACACCTTTGCGGCATCGTCTTTTTAACAGATGAGTCCTTGTCCTCTTCTGGCTGCTTCTTCCGAGTGTCCTTCAGCTTCTTCTGGGCACGCTCCTTAAACTTTGTGCCCAAGCTAAAAGTCAAGGGGAGTTCAGGCCTGACTTTGAAGACAGTTTTTATTGTGTCAATATCCATCTGAGTCACTGGGAGCTTCATCTTAGATCCTTGTGAGAAAATCTGTGAGGAAACCTTTGCCAGAGCTGAGTGCAGTGCAGACTTTGGATGTTGTTGAAGTGCTGATGGTACAGACCCATGCAAATAAAACACTGACTGCACATGGTGCAAGTGTAACGATGAAGATTTCTGTGGAGAGTCTGTTTTGGGATGCTGTGAAAGTTGGGAGTTTGTTATGGGACATGAACGCTGCTGTGTTAGTAGCTGGGACGCCATTGGATGTGCAACACACTGATCCAAATACTGAAGCGACTGCCAGCGCACAGACCGAGTGCCAGGCTTCAGGATCCAATCAGGCAGACGGTACAAGTGAATCTGTGGCTGCTTCTGCAGCTTCGACACGGGGCTCCCAGCTGATCTGGATTCAGGTAAAGTTTCTCTGGGCTTCATCTCCTCTGAGTTCTCCTGTTCCTGCAGAGGAGGGGACTGCCTAAGCCAACCAGCAAGACGGGTTCCAAAGTGACACTAGTAACAGTAGCATGCAGAGGCGACGACCGGCAGCAGCCAGAATGATAGGAAAAGGAAGGAGCAACTTTTAGCATAATGTGTTAGAAGAACAAGGAAGTTAAAAGACGAGTTAAGCAAATGCATTAAGCAACAGCAAAAATACACAAATTCTTAGATGCGGCTCTATAACAAATATATATATATAAAAAAAAAAACTGGTTTGTGCTCATATGAAGCAAGACTGCTAACCTAAATTGTGCAAAATCTGTTAATACGATCAATTAAAAGATTGAGGTTTTTTTTTAAATAAAGAGTAAATGGAATATTTAAAATTTTAGATCCACAAGTTCTTACATCCACCTTATATTGTTCAACACTATTTAAAAAAATTATACATGCCCAATCTTTTGCTGTCCCAGCCTCACAACTACTGCTAAACTTTTTTAATCTATTTAGGTTAGCCAACACAACAAAATCGAAATAAACTTTAATTTTCTCATGCTTTTCAGTTTTATAAAAGCAATTAACTTGATAGAAAAGTTGAGCAATGTCATATTTGAGGAAATAAATTACTGTACTTGAACGCAAGGATTAAAAAAAAAAAACTAATCAACTATTTTAGGCAAAAGCAACAAGTGAAAAAAAAAAAGACTACCACACAATTCTAAAAAACAAAAGATTGTTATGTTTATTAGTTTATGTAAATAGCAAAAATAGAAAGAAAAACATCCATACAGCCATTATTTATAGCCGCTTCTTCCTAAACAACGAAATCGTAGCCAACGAACAACAAGAGTGTTTTAAATATGGCCAAACAAATTATTTCTTAGATGTGAGAAGGTCATACAAGCTTTTTATTCCATTTTATAAACTGTCTTTTATCATCATCATTAAGTTTACTTATTGTGTGGTTCTTTATGTAAATAAATATTAACCTTTAAATATTAAAATTCTGATGAAGAATGGAAATATTTTTATTTTCTTTCTTTTGAATACAAAGATTTCTTGTTGTCATGGAGCTGTAATACAACTTATCCAGAAAAATGTATTTACTGAATGACAGTACTTTTTGTTTTTTTTAAATCAGCCTCAATTCAAAACAACGCTTCTATGTGGCTACAAAAACATCAAGTAAAGCAGAATAAGTCTGGTTTATGAAAAGATATAAGTGCATGCAGAAAGCATAAAGTCAGAAACAGAAGGTAAAAGAGGGTGAAACTTAAAACATGTTATTACAGTTACTTGGGAAAAAAAAAAATATATATATATATATACATACATACATATATATATATACATATATATATATACAAAAGCACTGGGCCAAGTATTATTTGGAAATAATTGTTGGTGCCGTTTTAATTGTGAACATTTGAGATTGTAAGTTCCAGGTAAAATTTACTCTTAAATGTAAATATGGCACACTAAAATAAAAAGAAAAACAAAACATCTGAATACAAAATGCCTTAGAACTTAGCAGAGCAACTGAAACAAATTTTTAAAAAAAAGTTCTCCATAAAATACTACTTGACCCAGGCTTGGAAGGTAAAAATAAACACCTGCTCAGTGGTTTTACCTTGTAGGGTTTCAGTCTGCTGCCAACACTTTTGGAAAATAGCCTACGATTCTTTAAGGACTCGGTGGGTGGATCATGCACAGCGCCATCTTGGAAAGCTGCATATTGAAAAAATAAAATAAAATAAACCATTTCAGAAACAAATCTTTACAATAACAACTGGAAACTCTTTGCAAAGTGAAAATATTGCTCCCTGGGGGCATTTACTAGTCAGATTATTTCAGTTCAGCTCATGATTAATCATTCAAGTCATGTGTTGTTTCAATCAGCTCTCTGTGGTTAATAAAAGATATGAAGACATTTAAATGATTTCAAATCTTGACAGTTCCGCTCAGAAAAAGTCAATTGAAAAATGATGAGGCAACTAGGAATGCGCGATATATACGGTACATGGTAGAAACGATAGAAATTTAGCCTACGATCTAGATCTGTCTTCTACCGGCTAACCGCAGTAATGCTGTGTCTGATGTAAAATCAGAGTTGTCAGTTTAATCGTTACTTTTTTTAGTTGAAAACTGTGCGCAAGTGGTGTTAAAGTCTTTTCTTCGAGAGCTAAGTAGCGAAGCTACAAGCTAACTACAGCCGGCTTGCCGTAGTGTTGCCGTATTCTGACGCATGCACAAAACGCTGTGTTCCGTCGAAAGTTTGTTTTTTTCCATCGAAAGTTAAAGTAAGCGTTGGTCACCTTTAGAGAAACCTGCTCTCTGATCTGTGAAAAGAACGCTGTGTTGTGTGAATTTACTGTGAGACCCTCTGGTCAAAGCCACAGACTCATTTTGTGTCAGCTCTCCATTAAAGCAGAAGGCGTCGCCCACTAGAGAGTTGGAGGGTGAAGTGTTTCTGTGTAAAATGCTGCTCTGTTGCTGTTCATTTCTTAAGTAAGACTGGAAACTGTTAAGAGTTAATAACATATTTTTTTGTTTAAAACATATGGCTAAAACTACATTTGATATCATTTGCACTACAAGAAAGAAGCCTAATACTTGATTTGTTTATTATTTAAAAACTCTCTGGACCTAGTAGTGGAATTTTCTTAATTCAAAATATATGATGGCAAAAGGACACCCTATGCTTTTTTGTTGCGTTTTAAAAACATATTGCGATATATATCGTTATCGCCACCCTTCACAATACATATCGTGATATGAATTTTATGCCATATCGCACATTCCTAGAGGCAACATGTAATTTGCATACCTTCCGTTTCTTCTTGCTCCTCTTCAGACTCAGATTTAAGCAGTCTGCTGTACGAGCGCGGCTTGGTTTTACGCAGCGACTGCTTCCTGGTGCCGAACGCTGTCAGGGGCGAACCTTCGCCCGATGCTCTGGCGCTCCTGTTTGCATCAGAGGTGTAGGCCAAGTACCGCTTCGCCTGGACTGAGAAAAAGGAGCCCCATCCTTAATTACAATTGGTACGATTAAGTTTTATTTCATAATTACTAAAAAGTGAATTAATCAAACTTAAGATGAAATAATAATTCAAATATGCAAACAGGACTTCCACCTTACATACTTTTTAAAGGCTTTATAAGGCGGTCCAACTTTGCCTTCTCAATCCGATCGCACCTCCTGTATCTGCAAACAAACAAAAAGAGATAATTGAAAGTGTCTTTCACAATCTTTAAAGTACAAGGTAACCACCTCAGAATATAATTTAGCAGCACAAACCTCATTTTGGCCTGAACTACAATTTTATACTCACCAGTTTATACAAGCTGAACGACAAAAAAAAAGCAACGGAGTAGATTTAAAGTCATCCGGGTTTCTTATTTAACAAAACTTCACTGAACCATGGGAACGGGATAAAACCAGTTTGAAAAGCCATCCAAAATTTATTTCTTCTTGTAAACCACATATCAGCTGATAGTGTTTTAACAAATGAGGTAAAATAACTGGTTTATGAATTAAATACATGATTTAAGTGGATTCAGACAAAGCCAAGACATCCTCCCATCCATCCATTATCAAGGTTATGCTGTATACACACTCACTGGCCACTTTTTAAAGTGTTTGTAATGGATTCGACCCCCTTTTGCCTTCAGAACTGCCTTAATTTTTCAAGTCATTGTTTCAACAAGTTGTTGGAAGAGTTTTGACCACACTGGCATGATGCTTCATGCTCTTGCTGCAGATTTGTCAGCCATGATGCAAGTCTCTTGTTCCACCATATTTTAAACGTGTTCGATAGGACAGAGATCAGGTGGAGGCCACTAGAATTAAAAAAATTGGGATTCAGGAGAGAAGGCAATGTTTTTTCAATTTCTTTCCGTTCGATTTTGGTGAGTTTGTGTGAACTGTAGCTTCAGCTTCTGCTACTGAAGTCCATAATGGGTGTTCAGAGACTGTGTTCTGCAGAATTTTGTTAGTAACAAGTGGTTTTTTGTTCTACTGATGCCTTTCTGTCATCTTGAACCATTCTTCTCGGACCTCTGGCATTAATAAGGCTATTTTGTCAACACAAATGCCACTCTGAATATTTTCTCTTTTTTGGACCATTCCTTTTAAACCCTAAGATTTAAATCCACCTTTTCCCCTATTCTGATGTCTAGTCTGAACTTCAAGTTTTTTTTTTCTCTACATGCCTAAAGGCATTAAGTTGCTGCCATGTAATAGGCTGATTAGCCGCTCATGTTAACATGCAATTGAACAAGCACACTTAATAAAGTGTACGACTGCTGCTCAATAAAAGCTAAAGTTTTTCTTTACAGCTAACAATTAAACAAATGCTGGTAAGATTCTCAGTCATCCAGGAAATGGCATTATAAAGCTGAGGTGTTCTGTAAACTAGATTCACATGCAGATCGCCCTCACTCCTCATAGTAGAGGATCGATCGTTAGGGTCTTTGTTAGTCTGACTCACAGCTGGGCCACTCTGGTCACATGAATGAAGGTCTTGATTTGAGTAAAAATGACAGTGCATCGGGCCTAATGCTCCATTACAGGTTTTTGAAAACCTATAATTGAATTGAATACAAAAGCATTTACATTGCCTGCCCCCCCCCCCCCCCAAAAAAAAAGGTCACACACACTAATATTTCATTGGACCGCCTTTAGCTTTGATTACATCATGCATTCACTGCGTCATTGTTTCAATAAGCTTCTACAATGTCACAACATCTATTTCCATCCAGTGTTGCATTAATTTTTCGCCAAGATCTTACATTGATGACTAGACACTAGGCATGATGGGTGCATCACTTCACCTGCCTCTCTTCTTACCCTGATGCAACCATCACTCTGGAACAGGGTAAATCTGGACTCATCAGATCACATGACCTTCTCCCATTGCTCCAGAGTCCAATCTTTATGCTCACTAGCAAATTGAAGCCTTTTTTTCCCAGTTAGCCTCACTGGTTAGTGGTTTTCTTAAGGCTACACAGCTGTTCAGTCCCAATTCCTTAAGTTCCCTTCACATTGTGCGTGTGGAAATGCTCTTACTTTCACTATTAAACATAGCCCCGAGTGCTACTGTTGTTTTTCTTCCATTTGATTTCACCAAACGTTTAAGTGATCACCGATCACGATCATTCAGGATTTTTTACGGCCACATTTCTTCCTCGAAGACGATGGGTCCCTACTATCCTTCCAGTTTTTAATAATGCGTTGGACATTTCTTAACACAATTTTAGTAGTTTCTTCCATCTCCTTAAATGTTTTCTCTGCTTGATGTTAATGATTTGACCCTTCTCAAACAGACTGACAACTTTTCCACGACCACGCCATGTGTCTTTCAACATGGTTGTTTAAGAAATGAGAAGCAACTCATTGCATCAGTTGGGGTTAAACAACTTGTTGCCAGCTGAAAGATAATCACCCATGCAGTAATTATCCAATAGGAGGCTCATACCCATTTGCTTAGTTAAATTCAGGTGGCAACTTTTTTTTTTTTTGGCCAGGCAGTGTATAATTCAGGTATGATACGAGTGTATTTCCTTCCCAAACATCTCACTCATTAAATGTTTATTTGGTAGGTTGTAAAAAAAAATATACCTACCAACCAATGTTCCCTCTAATTTTTCATGTGTCTGGGCAAACACACAAGCTCCCTGAGCTCACTGAGGATCACTGTGAGCAACATCAGATGTGCACGCTGTGGCCACACACCAGTATCATACCTGTTCAAAACCTGGGATCTAGCAAGTTACATGGCTTATTAAAAGAATCCAGTTACAGCAGCAATTTCAATTAGTTTACTTTAAGTGATTTGGCCCACTTAAAATGAAAAAAGACAATCTTGTTGCTCATGAGATGTGTAGTATGTCATATGGCAGGCCACCACCCGATTAACGCAAACCACCATGAATGAGTTAAGTTTGGCGCACTTTGAACACCATGACACCACATGTGTACTTGGTTAGCAACGTGTTGGCCATTGGTGTCAGAAGCATTTTTTTGTAATGTGGGAGGGACACACTGGTGGTGGTGGGAGGGTCGCCCCCAGAAATTTTTTAATAAAGTATATGCCATTTCCTGCATTCTGTTGCATTGTAATGGGTTGTTTAACCTCTAGTTTTACCTATGTAAGTAAACATTTGATTCAATAAGTAGCCTGACCAACAGCTCTCCTTGTGTGAATAGAGCACGCTTCACTTCTCTCACGCATCCTAGCCAATTGTAAGGTCAAGAGATAAACATGTAGCATTAACACAGTATGACCAACATTCAGGAATTGTGTCTATAAGAACATTATCAAATATTTTACGTGAATGGCAAGATCGCTTCACCCACAAGGAAATGTAACCCAGGGTGAGCTAACCTTAAACAAACAAACAAGATAGCTGTAATGGTGGAGGTAGTGAAGTTCATGGCGTTACCTGAGGCATTTAGTGAGGTATTTCTGCCTTATCAGCCAACATTAAGGCAAAGAAGACAGAAAAAAAATTCTAAGCTACTAATAACATAAAATAGTTACTGCAGTGGATGTTTTCATTCCGCAGAATGACACAGGGCAAAGACTCAGTGAAATTCAGTATGTAAAGTGTAAATGTTACATTACACAACCTATTAAACACTTTGTACAAAATCAGTTTGGTTTTAACAGACTAAACTTGTGCAACCAGAAGTTGCAACATACGATATATCTACATATAAACCACACAAAACAAAGCACAGCTAGCTTTAAGCATCAACCTTTAATTTAACCATTAAGCATACAATGCAATTATGACAGAAAATGGCGGATTTGCCTGAAGTTACCTTCGTACAGACAAACGTGGTACTTCCTGTTGTTTAGTTTTTGAAACCGAATAAACTGTATTCCACCCTCTAAATGCTCAGTGTAACACGTGTCTGAATCGCATGTTCCCCACTGACAATGTTTAACCATTTTCCCCCTGATGATTCTTCACGAAATTCCTCTGACCGCAAAGCATTCATGCAAAACCCCAAAAAGGTTGTTAAAGGAAAATCGGGCTGTAGGTAAGGGGCGTTCACTTCAGAACAAATTGTGATCGCTGATTGGTCAGTTGCTGACGTGCCTACTAGATTGACAGGTGGCGTGAGGCTCCGGCTTGTGCAAAAAAAACAAAAAACATAGATTTTACTGGTCTGTTTAAGACTGTCATCATTTATTACATATTTATTTCAAATTTAGTCAACATTTTGGTGAATCTAAGGTATGAGAACAGAGTTTCCTTACAAATTCCTAATGATGGTTTCTTTATTTTTCAGGGGTGCCAAGTTAAAATGTACGAGTGCTTGAGCACCCCCAAAGAGGCTAAAATCGCAACTGCATAGAGGTGCGCGTACAAATATATAACACTTGAGCGCGAGTCATTACAGGCTAGAGCGGGGCGCCACCTGTTGTGTTGTCTTTGCTGTGACAGACAGCCTCAGAGGGAAAGAAGAAGGGGCGGGGATGTCCCCATTGCTGCTGCTGTCTGGGGAGCTTCAGTGAGACGGGTACCTGAGCGAGTGGCCTGGATCGTTTATTTAAAATAATTGTGCACGACCCGAACAGAGCCTTTGGTGGTCCAGCTCCTCGGTGGTCACTGAGTGAGTTCAGGCCACAGGGAAATGTCCCAGTGCGGTGTTGAGATGGCTAGTCAGCCACTGCGCAGCAGATTTTCTTGTGCGCAGAGAATGTGCAAGCAGTGCGCGATTGCTCCGGCGTGTAGCTTAGAGGGAACATTGCTACCAACTTTAAAAAAAGTGGATTTATTGCGAATGCCAGCACCTCTACAGTGACGGGTTGAGAAAAGTAAAAGGCTTTCAAGATGTAACTAAAATTTTATCAGAAGCGTACGGTGTGTGAGAAATGTCACTGCTGTAAATGAAGCCTGTTGACTTACATGCAGCACTGCCTCTTTGTGTTTGGGCCTCCGAATTTGGGTTTATCCAGGCAGTTCATACACTTTGCACAGTCTTCTTCTACCAAGCAGCCTTTGCAGATTCCACAGCGTCGGGAACGGACTCCCCCAACGATAAACTGACTCTGAATCTTCCTGTTTTTGAACTTGCGCGCCATCCTCCGCCTCCTGCGCTTGATGCATTCCTGAGGGACAACCCACTGGGCCCTGCCTTGATCAGATATGTCATCATTGCCATCATCGTCGTCGTCATCGTCATCAGCAACATCTGCAGGCGAGACAGAGAGAGGATGGGTAACAGAGGTGATACACATTTAAATCAGTATTTTGCGCATGTGATGAGGGGGCGACACCTTTGAATGTCAGGGCTTATTCTTCAATCTGTTGAAGATGTTAAAAGTCTAACTGCTGTGACTGCAGGTCCATCATGTGAATTTATAGCTCAACCCCCCCAATTAACGGTAGTAAGTTTGGTTCCTGCAGCTGTATTACTGGTAATACAGGACTAAAGAAAAAAGCACTCTATAATGAGTTTCCGACAAAGACCATTACTGCTGGAAACTCTTCAAAACATTTTTCACATTTAATGACAACCTTGTGTTCCCCTGTTCTGTTACTTCAGACATTAAACATGGTGTCTTTTTAGTTATAATTTAATAAATAAAGCGTCTGGGATAACCTTGTGCAGGGATTACTTTTTGCTCTTCATGTGTTCAGTGAGTCTATTCGTCAAACAGGACTTCCTCACCTCATACTGAGTGATGCTCACTCGACCAGTGTTGGGTATAGCTTTCCAACAGCGGTGGCTAATCTGTGTGTGACAAAAGATAATTTTTGCTGGAAATATTTTATTTACATTGAGCTATCAAAGCAATTATTTCTAATTTTTGATTAACATATGGCCAAAAAGTGAACAAAATGTGCTCTTACACTTTTTACCCCCTATATGTTATGTGGTGCATTCACTGCTTCAGCAGTTTTATCAGCGCTTTGTTCAAACACAGTAAAAGTGGATTTCCCAAACAAAATAAAATACATCTGGAGGATGAAGATGGAGCATTGTAGGTGAACTACGTCAAAAGACAAGTCAAACTACTGAGGGATAGAAACATGTAGTCTACGTTATAGTCATGATCCTGGGGTTCTAGTATCTTATTCTACAAACGAAAAAGCTAATATTTTTTGGGAAATGCAGATGGGTGATATACTGAGTAAATCTGATACATCCTGAGTTCTCCCTCATGCAGTATCAAATGATTATATCCAAAATATTGGGTGCAAATTTAAACAGCTATTTTTAGAAATTACATTACTAGGATATCCTGATGCATGCTCAATAATCCTGGTAGAACATCTAACAAAGTAAAGTCAGACCCTCTGGGCGGATTCTTCTTGTTGAAACGTTTCGTCTTTTTTCCCCAAAAGACTCTGTCAGTCTGAGAAGCTGCAATAAACTCAGTCTTATAAATAGCACCTTCTCATAGTGGATCAACCAGTATGTTGTTGACATCCAGAACTAGCTGTTCACGTGATAAAAGGAGGGACATCAACCTAACAACTGGTCATTAGTGCCCTGATGACTGCTTGCTATTCACAGGGGGCTGAGTGAAACCCCAAAATACATTACGACAAAGACTGGTCCATCCCAAAGATACAGTCCTCCAGCACAGAGTAATTTTAGTGTAGTAGTATTAGTATTAGTAGTATTAGTTCAGTGCCATGAGGGTTGTGATCAGTTAAACATCTGGGAAACTAAACAGCCACAGGCCAAAAGGATGACCCAGCAGAAGAGCAACATCATCAGGCCAGGACTCTGCAGTCTACACTCATCTCCAGGCCAGCGGTCCCTCTTTCAGGGTTGAAGATGTTCACATCCTGGATAGAGAGGAATGATGGATTGAGAGAGGAATGAAGGAAGCCATCTTTGTGAAGAGAACCTGTCCATCATTAAACAGGGGCGGAGGCCTCCGTGTCCGTCACCCTCTTACTATGCTGTTATTGCTAGTGTCACTCAGCCCTCTGTGAATAGCAAGTGGTCATCAGGGCACTAACGACCAACTGTTAGGCTGATGGTCCTCCTTTTACAGGTGGACAGCTAGTTTTGGCTGTCACCAACAAACTGGTTGAGCAACTATGAGAAGGTGCTATTTATAAGACTGAGTTTGTTGCAGCTCCTCAGACTGAAGACGTATTTTGGCTAAAAGACAAAATGTTTCAATAAAGAATATGTCCAGAGGACCTGACTTTACTTTGTTAGATACATTACTAGGCGTTCAGCTTTTCCCATGCGCTTCTAATGCATCATAATTGTTGCCATTCAGAAACAACTGATTAAAAGTCCCCTTTGCTGATGGGTTATGTTAGTATAATTATAAAGGTTTTTTTATACCAGTAAAGGAACATGGGTCAGAGGACAAGGTCCATGAGTCATCATCGTTAATTAGGTAATATTGTAGAATTAAATAAATATGTTGAATAAATCATCAGAAAAAAAGCTAAAAAAAATACTAAGTAAGATGACTTTTGGTCATATCGCCCAACTCTATTTGGATATCAACTTGTTGGTGCTAATATCTTGTTTGATTCAAACTATGTAAACTTTGGTATTTTTTACAGATTCACCTAAAGATGTTAAGACAATTTGGCTATTTATTTGACAAGTTGCCAGTAAAATGCCAAAAAATCTGTTTTACAATGATTTCTTCGCTAAGCAGTCTGTTACGTTTTAATACAACGCAAGTTCATCCTCTGAATTAGGAGCTTTTATGTGTCTGAATGATTCATAAAACAAAGTTAAGTGGTTTTGGGGAAGAATGCAAACATTTATGTAAAAACGGTCAGGTAATGAAAAAAAGCAACTTAAGTTTAAAGAAACTTTAAAAGAACTTCAGAAAGACTTGAGAAATACAAACCAAGAATTTTCACATTTCACCAAACTAACAGATTTTTAACACACCACCTAACCCCACTGCGATGGATTCAATGAATTCATTTTTGCTCATTTACAGAACATTTGAAAGTCTTACCAATTAAGGTATTTCCCCCCCACAAATGTCTTTTTGGTGTTTATTTATTTAAAAAAAAAAAAAAGGTTTTGAGAAATTATCGATACATTCAGTCTGATAAGGTAAAACATACTAATAAACCACCTGAACAGATTTCCTTTGTTTCTTATTGAGGGTTTTTAACCGTTTCAGAAACTGAAATCAGCATTAGCCAAAAAGAAAAAATAACCTTAAAGAACACCTGGTCTTTATATATTTACACTTCCTGCCATTTATGAGCCAACAAACTAAAGAAGTATTAATTTAGACAAACAAAACTGCCTGTTTGATTTAATGATTGAGCCGTTTCCTAACCGATTTCTTAACTATATTCCAGATGTATAGCGTATCAAATTTTATCCTGTAAAAGATAAGGTTGAAATTAACGGAAAGATAAGGCTGAAATACCATTTCATGCCAAATTACCCCCCCCCCCCCCTGAAAAAAAACAAACAAACAAAAGAAAATGTTATGCCGACCATCTCGTTGGCTGATTTTGCACAGATTGATCCATTAACCTAATTAGTTGCTGAGATTTGTATTGGTACAAAACAACAGTAGCAAACCTGGCAGTGTCTCACTGATACCCTACAATGAAAGACTGGACAACACAATTTACTGAAGCAGTTTAAAAGGACAAAGATTTCACACAAAACCCCAAAATCAGATAAAAAGAAAAACCAGTTCTTCTCTCTTCTGAGTCTGTTATGTGTTCTCCCTTTCATTTTGCAGTTAAGTCAGATTTTTTGCATTTTAACCAGGTATCATCAGGACGTAAGTACAGTTCATAAGTATAAATAAAATACTAAATATGCACTTTATTAACTTCAGTTCATGGTTTAAAACTACAATAAGCTGGATTGTACTCTTTTGCGTTTACTTGTACACTTCACTGTTCACACTCAGCTGACATGCAAAATAAGTTTATAGAAAATGTACAACTAAAAAAAAATACACCAATATTGAACTACTTGAGTACTTCAGAACTACATAATGGATAAAATAGAGTGAGTCTTTAATTCTGAACAAATTATTATAGTGTAAAAATGTATAAAAAAAATTAAAAAGCTATATTCAACGTTCATCCTAATAGAACCAGCACAGGGGCTGGAATGTACCTTCTGCTGCGGGGGAAAAGGTGATGCCCTCCCTCTCGTGAAGCGGCAGAGCGCTGAGTCTGGGAATGTCATCCGGCACCATGGCCCGAGGCTGGCCCAATGCCACCGCTGCGGCCCGACACACGTGTTTGATCCTCGGACCTCCAAGCGGCTGCTCCTGCACACACACACACACAAACAGAATAAAAACTGGGACAAGCATGGACATTATTGGACAACAATAGATTATTAAAATCAGCATTAAGTAAAATCCTGCTCACAGTAAATCTGCCAAAAGAGCAAATTATTTAGGAACGACAGCGAGAAAAATCCATATCTTTCTATCACTCTCCATCTGTCTTAATTGATTAATTGGTTGCTCATTTTAAAAGTAATTTACAAAGAAAACAGGACATGCAGCCATTATTAGAGCAAAAGCACAACTAGTTTGAACAAAATAAACTTTCATTTTAAATTAACTTAATATTTAAAAGATGTACCTGTGGAGGAACCTCTTTGGCAGACAGTCCAACTCTCCTCTTCCTCCTCCTCCCACTCACCGGCACTTGAGATTCTCCTAAGCCCAACTATTATTCCAAACGAGAAATTTGTTTTTTCATTTTTGTATGAAATGCAATAAATTAATGACACAACTAAACTCTTAAAGAACACACTATGTGTTGCATAACACAAAGGCGCCTAAGCTAATTTTCTTTCACATAGTATCAAATCAAATCAGCTCTTACCTGTGTCAGCTTGAGCTGCTTCTGCTGATCAATCTTTATGAGCTGCACTTTGGCTTTCTTCAACAAGTGGAGCATCCTCTTATTAGCTCCACTTAGACCAATCCGATGGCTGGCGCCTGTATCCAGCACCTCACTACTTGCCTCTTTCATGCCAACTGCTTCATCTGCATCAAATGACACAAAAAAAGCAACTTTAGATTATTTAAAATCTTGTTGCAGGCATAACATTTCTGACATCCACAAGTATTTCCCAGTCTTTTGTTTGTAAAAACACAGCAAACAACCTGTATACTCTTCATTATTATTTTTAAAAGACTTATCCTTACTGTTATTACCTGCATCTTCAGATGCGATTTTCTTGGGAGACTCAACATCCGCCTCCACCACTAAAGCCACTTTCCTCACGACTCCGGGAGAGTCCAGCTCCTCCATCACGAGCTTTGGTTTCCGTTTCTTCCTCACATGAGCAGTCAAATCATCGCTCTGATTTGTGTAATCCTCCTGACTGTAACCTTGGCTTCTCTTTTTCTCCGCCAGTTTTAAGGTCAACTTCTTCAAGTTTTTGTAGATCTCTATGTGACTCGCTCCCGGAATGGGTTTTGATGACATTTTTGAGCCGCCAGATGAGCCGTCAACCCCAGATGTGTCCACTGGCTGCGAGTTGCTATCATAATCTGACTCGTGAAATGGTTTTCCATCCTCTTTCTGCTGACTTTTCAGCCACGTGGCCAGAGAGCCCTTTGGAAAGGGGATAATTTCTTCATTCAGGAACCTCTTTGGAGTTTTAATAGTGCGGGAAGACCGTCCGCTTGTTACAGTTGATAAGGAATTGTTGGAACTCTGGTCTACTTGCTCTAAACCTGACATTTCTGATAAGGTGACATTCTGACCTTGAATCTGTAGGTCATTACTTTCCACAGGTGGTAGCGGCTCAGGCACGTAGGCATAATAAACCCGCCGAGCACGAGCACGAACCCTTTTGATTTTAGGCCGATTATTATCGAGAATGTCTGTTGACGGCTTTCGCTTGTATCCAAACAAAAATCTTCCTCTGCGTTTTTTCCGCACTTTCTTTAATGAAGCCTTTGCAGCATTACGCTTAAGTGTCATTTTGGGCTCTTCTCCACTCGGGGCAGCAGCTTCTGCAGAAACACCAACACCTTTAACCGTTCTCCTCCTCTGACGTTTGTGAAAAGACGAAAAGGACTGGGCCACTGCACTTTCTGAAGATGCTGCTTCTACTTTCCTTGTTATATCAGCTGATGTTGTACAGCTTTGACCACCTGAGATCTGCTCACCTGCCTGTTTGGCTTTGGAAGAAAGAGCCTCCTGCTTATTGTGCACTTTTATTGCTACTTTGTGCATTTCTATGTCTTTTACTGGGCTCTCTTTAACATCTTTTCCTTCCTTAGCATCCCTAGGTACAATTTTTCCAACAAGAGACTGTTTTTGTATCTTTGGAATAATTTTTCCAATAAGAGGTTTTGCTCCTGGTGATGGTTCTGAAGCTTTTGGAGGTTTAGCTTCTCTGGCAGCTGAAGTTTTCTGTGGGCAAGCCCTTGCGGTTCCAAATCCAATGAAATCGTCCTCCTGAGAATAAAACAGCGCAGCCTTTAGTATATAGTCAGTATATCGAAACATTTGGATACGTTTAAATAAAACAAGATAAAACTGTACACCTTCTACAGATAGCAATCATTTACTGGGCAATGCACAAAATAACTAAAAAAGATTTGCTTCAAACATTTTCAACAATGAAAACAAAAGTTTACATAGAATGTAAAACACCTGAGTTATTTTAATACTGAATATTTGATGGATCATTTTAGATGTTTATTGTGAATTTTACAAGAATCTTCAGAAAACTAAATTAAAGCAAATACCGTAATAGGGTTCAAAATACACAATGTTTCTTCTTTTATTTGTTTGTGCTTTTAATAGCTTTAACATCATTAAATGATTGTTTGGGGGTTAATGTTGCCCAAACCTATTGGGGTTTTGGTCAAAATTGCATTAGAAAACAGCCTTAAAAAACTAAATTTACTGAGTTTTGCAGAAAATTCCTAGTCAAGAGTTCATATTCTGAATATCTCTGCACAGCTTGTTTAAATATGATCCAACTTTTGCCTTAACAACATTTAACATACTGCATTTCTGTGGATTCTCGTCCTTACAGCTTTTTTCTTTTCACAAGAGAAAAGAACTTCACCTTTTCTTTTTAAACCTAACATTTCTAATTCTGACATTCCCCCTCTGGTTACGTTTATATCCGACGTTTATATTAACGACTCAATATCCCTGATGTGCTGAGACTGTCTGAAGGGCACTCACCAATGTTTTGAATGTAAACAAAAGACTCCTTAATTGTTGGCAACAAAACATGGCTCTGCTGATTTAGCTCATTTTATTACAAAGGTAGGTTGTGAATCATGTGTAGTTAGTGGTCATTTTTATCATAGATGATCATATACTGTACACACAAAAATGAAAAACTTTTTTAATCACATATTTTTGGCTTTAAATTCATTTGTGTACAATTCTGGTGCTGTGAAATTATCAGCAGGTAGACATAGGCCTTCAGAAGAAGCAAAAGAGAAAAGCCAAAAGTGGAATTTTAAGCAAATATTGACATTTCACAAAATGGGAGTCACAGAAATCTAATGCATATAGACTTTCTTTTATTACTTAGCTTGCTAACATTTCAGTTGGTGTATTCAATCTTTTCAATGTTTTCTGCTCAACGTATGAGACCATATTGAAACTAAGCATGAGTCACTACTGCTCATGATTTGATTTTCAGGTATTTGCCCATCAGAAACTTTGGTGCAGCATCAGCAGCACTGCTCTCTACTCTTACACCGGTGTTGCATCAGTGCAGTTCTAACACAGCAAAGGAAAACCTGTTCATGTGACTAAGCCATAAATTAGTCCACACACATTCTTTAGTTTTTGCACCATCTCTGTGCACATGTCTAATTTCCAAATTCACATGTTGGATTATTTTCTATGCACTCATTGATCAAAAGGAGAAACAAAAAGCTTCTACTCTCTGAAGGTCTTTTGGATAAAAAAACAAAATGTTTCAACAAAGAAGAACCCATCCAGAGGACCTGACGCAACTTTGTTAGCCATATCTCAGTTACTCACATCCAAGTCTCTCCACAGGTTGGTCATCAGTGAAAGCCCTTGAATAGCATAGATTCCACATCACTGAAGAACACTGCAAGTGACGTTTTGCACTCCAGTTGAGCAGCATCCACAAGATTTAGCATAAACCATGTGACTGACAGTCCCCTTTAAAGAGATTGCATCAGTCAAGTCCCTTCTCGAGGCAACAGATGGCATGATTAGACCCAATATGGCATTAAAGTAACGTGTCTTTAAATAAAAAATTTATAAGCAATATTTGTTAACAGCACCAAACAGCCAAAGGGACTGAAAATAGGTCAACAATGAGGAGATCCACAGAAGAGCAGTATGAGAATGAGAAGTCAGACAATTCTGATGTACGCATTTATGCTCATATTTGTTTTATAAAGATAAAAAGATAAGTTAAACGCTAAACTTACTGGTCTAGAACAGGGTCTGTATGCAGCTCTTTCTGCTGCAACTCCCTGCGACTTTGGAAAATAAAAAATTAGTATTTAATTTAAATGTATTTTTATTTTAGTTTGTTCCTTTTTTAAATGTAATTCTAAATGTTAAGATAATGGTGTTCTTGTAACATTAAAATAAAAAGGGTTTAATTTTTGTCTAAATATATGTCACAATCAATGCACGGTCTAGAAATTTTCAAAAGCCACGTGTGCACCCTGCGTGATCCCCAATATTTATTATTGACAGACTTGAGGAGATTATCTCATCTCTTATATTTGCACCTAAATGTCTTTAAGGTTCTAAGCTTGTCTGATTCTGCCATATTCACAAACTCCAGCCAGCCTACAGTAGATATATCATGTGACTCAAGCTTCCAAGTAGTTTCCAACAGATTCCGCTGAGGGCTTCCTTTACATTGACTGCACACCCACATTTTAAAATTGCACATCAAACTATTGGGAGTAAATTGCTCCATTAATCATAACTCAGAATAACATGTTCTCATGCTATATTGAATAGTTTTGCAATGAGTACCTTTACATTATTGTCACACAGCTGCAGGTAAAATGGGCAATGCGATATTACAGATCAAAATCACTCCATTTTGCACGTAGTCTAAAAATAATCTTCAAATAACCTGTTGTAGATAAACGTTGACAGGACGTGTTGATTATAACATCAATGAAAATACATTAAAGCAGAATATGAAAATTATAGCTCCCAGTAAACACAACTTATTACTCAAATGCATTCAGGGGTACAGTATTGATATTTTATAGCAATTCAAATTTGTATTTTAAATCATGGAGTACCTTCAATATGACTGCAGACTATGTTAATTTATTTTGGGGGGTTGCTGTAACATTTATTAGAGGTTTATATCCCTCCTGTTGCTTCTTGCGTTCACCTAACGTTAACACACGGAGCAGTCAGCTGACAGAGCAGCTCCAACGTGGACTGTGATCCAACACCTCGCAGTTGCAACGTTTTGCAAGCAAATATCATGATATAAAGTTACAAGAACTAGATTGTAACTTAGCTGAGCAAAGCACCCCTGGACGAGGGTGGGGGAACAGTGGGGGGGATGAGCAAAGCATGGTTTCCACAACAAAACACGACAGTGCGATCAAAGCGCCAAAGTTTCCGCCTTTATATGCGCCTTTCATGCTCAGCTGGACAGACATTATAATCAGCTGCACCGATTCTGGTTATTGCACAACAGAGTTGCCATGAATATCTGCCAAAGTAATCAGGATATAACCACTTCAAATCCTCTCTGGGGCTTTTCCTGCAAGCAAACAATGCCCGTATAGGGTTAGTGTTTGCAGCTAATTAGCAGCACATCAGCTAACATGTTATTCACAAGTAACAAAAAGCTGGTTTTACATTTGTCTTTTGTACAAACTAACTCCATCCGTGACGGTTTCCAGTTAGTAAACTCACCCCTTCGCTGCTGCTGGAGTCAAAGCCCGCATCTTTTCGGCGGCTATGCTTCTCCGCCACCCCGAGCAGGGGCAACAGGGACGGATCCTCGCTTAACGCTAGGCCGATGTTGACGGGCCTCGGCCCTCCGGCAGGAAGCTCGCAGTCGGCCGAGCACAACCTTCCGCGTCTGGTCCGTTTCTCCAACCGCAGCTTACCGCGAGACGCGCACGGACGACCCGGGAAGCGAGCCCGGGCCGGTAGGGAGCTGGTGCCCAGACCCGTGGCAGTAGAATATAAACCGCCTCCCGAGGCCGCCATTATTTACTACAACACAAACAGAGCGCGGGCAGAGGATCACTGCAGCGATGCGCGAGGCAAGATGGCAAAGGCGCGAGATAGCAGATAGGGGCAAGCACAGGTGCATCATGGGAAAACAAGCTGAAGCGCTTAATGTGGACGATTTCTCTCTAGCTGTTTTTCAATTTCAGTCATGCATTTTCAGAAAATCTTTGTAAAAACTGAAACTCATAGAGTACGGACATTTAATGCATGTTAAATACACTCTAATGTAAAATTAATTCAGTAAATCCCTGCATAAATTTACATGAGTTTTGTTTTTTTTTGCACTAATCCAAACTAAAATTTGTGCAGAGATTGTCAAATTTGCAATAAGGTATTAGATAACTTCTTAAACTTAAAAAAAAATTGGTTTAAATATTAAGAAAAATGAACTAAATTGAATGTATATTTGACTAAATATTGTACTGAAGATATTTGTTGCTGAGCAAAAACTAATTTTGACCTTCTAAACTTATCATTTGCCATTAAAATTACAAATGGGTTTTAAATGTACACGTTATGTTGACTACAAATTATTTGTTTACTTATTTTGGTACATTTCGTTAGTGAGGTCAAAACACTTGTATCTCACTATTAATTTTAACTTTAAGCTGCATTTTAAAGTCATAATCTTTCTTAAAACCAAGTTATGCAAAATCACATTACCCTGCATATTGCAAAATACATTTATTGGGTTACTGAAAGTTTCTGCCTGGCATTACTGAGCAAATATGTAATATGACATATCCACCTTACAGAACAGAAATTTAAGATAAACAAAAAAAAAAATGAAAATCAAGAATACCATTGAATCTACTGAGCATTTCCAGGAAGGACAAATAATCAAGAGGTCTATTTTGACATGCGAAGTTACAGAGTCCTAAACAGCGAAGTGTTTAACATATTTTATTAAGTTTAGAAATATTGTTCTCTAGGAGTTCATAGATTTTATTGAAAAATAAAACACTTAAGGGTAGAAACAAAACATTCACACGCCTAAAAAATAATTAACTTACTAATTTGCGATCAATGTAAAACAGCATAGAAATAACAGTGACAGCACAAATATCTTTGTAGCATGATCTAACATTATTATATTTATATACAGTTAAGTGTTACATTATCCAGGAAAAAAGAAATTATATCTAGCAATCATACAAATGAATGTTGCAAGAGAATATTTCATATATTATCTCTTGTTGAGAACCTTCTGACCCTTAGTATGGAAAGCCTGGTGCAACTTTAGGGCACGTTCTCTTGCAAAGCACTTTCCACAAGTGGGGCAGGAGTATTCTGAGCTGGGAGCTTTATGAGAGGGGGCGCCATGTTTGTCTTGTTTGTGTGCTCGCAGAGCCTCAACAGAGGGAAACGTGCAATCACAATCTGGTTTAGGACAGGGAATGTTGAGCTCAAAAGAGGAGGATTTTTTCCTGCTTCCTATTGCTTTCTCCTCCTTAGCGGCACACTTGGCTTTAGGAACACCTTTTTCGCCCTGGGATTTAAGACCACAGTTCTGGTCACTAGCAAACATCTCCTGGTGCTGCAGGAGATCTTCTTCTGTTTGAAAACCACCATCACACTTGCTGCACTGGAAGGTGTTGATGTCTTCAGATGCTTCTTGGTCGCGATGGACTGCTATGCGATGTCTAGTAAGTCGAGAGCCAGTAGGGAACAAAGCACTGCAGTCCTTGCGAGGAAATCGTCGTTTTGGGCACTTATGTCGTTTGTGTTGGCTTAGCTGCAAGATAATATACAATTATTATTGTAAATAAACAATACTGATCATTTATAGCAAAGAAAAACAATCTCTAAACTTGTGTCTTCACCTCAGTAAAGGTGCAGAACTTTTGCTTGCACCTAGTGCAGGGGAAGGGTGTTTTCTCCCTGTTATGTGTTACTTGGTGCCGAATAAGCTCGTCAGGGCAGTGGAAATACTTGGCACAGTTGAAACAGGTAAACCGTGTATTAGTCTGAAAAATGATGAAAAGAAAATATGAAAAATTAAGATTTCACTAATGTACCGTAAGTAAAGAATGTAAGTTTAACATCCCCCACCCCCCATTTTTATTCAAAAAACATAAGTTTTGCTTTGTTAGAAGCAATCCTGAGGAGTAAAAGAAGAGATTTCACAAAAAAGATGCATAAATGAAACACAAGAGGACAATTTAAAAATTTTTGGGTAATTCAGGATCACTGCAAACATGGTTTGGAATACTTTAAAGTGGCACAATATTTGTGATACTATAAATAGACCCTTATTAACAATTTAATTGATATTTTTGCTACTGTCATTTCACACATTTGTTCCCTTGTCATTTTCTTGTACCTCCTGCAGTTGTTGTGCGTACTGGTCCCGATGATGCTTCTTGATATGCCTCTCTTTGGCTTTAGGTTCACTGAAGGTGATGAAGCACTCAAAACACTGCAGACTCTCGTTGTGAACTGAATCGCAACAAACGGACAAGTTAAAATTCAAAATTGTGTTGTAGAGAAATGATTGTGCAAAAATAAAATAAAGTTTTCTGTCTTACATGGCTTAATGGGGACGACCACAGGCTCGATTCTCTCAGCAGAGGAGGGGGGCTTATGATCTCCAACAATAACTTGCTCTATCTTTAGCATTTCCATGCTGATGTTTCCACGCACAGCTGCAAAGTAAGCAAGATAATGTAGAAAAATTGAAAATTATGAAGTAGCTTATAATCGTAGCTGATTACTACAAAATGCATTTATTAAACATTGCGTAGAAAGCAAAAAAATTCCTTGACTTAAAGTTAAGGTTTTATTGAGTCTATGCGTGTAATTATACAAAACAAACACGTTTACGTTAGCCATAAACCAACTGGGTGATAGAAGGGAGTGATGGTAACAGCTAGCATTACACATCAAGCGACGTCAAAAAGATGCTAAACCTGCGACATCGTTAAATTACTTCAAGAGCAATCTATTTTACACAAACCTCTACTTTATATAATTTGAAATACTCATGTGTGTTTCTGTGATCACTTTTGAATCTCTGTAAAATAATATTAATAAAGAACTAAGTAATTAAAAAATACAGGATACTTTCATACCGTTCTCGTCCACCGACATGAAGACGTTTTTTAGCCTACATCACGTGACGAGGGTGAAGAAGCTATCGCGAGACTTAGAAACGAGATCTCGGTTGTCTTTTGGTCTGACGTAATTATGGACGATGGAAGGTGGAATGTGACGAAATTAAATAAATGCTGTACATCATGAAATAAAGAATTTAAAAGGTACATTTATTTAGTTTACTGGACATTTAATTAATTGTGTATTTAATAATTTAATTGTATATTTAATGTTTTGATTAAATTAAATGATACATTGTGTTTGTCACATTTCAGCCTCCACAGAATTCTCATGAATTGGACATTTTTTAAAAGTTAAATGTTAAGCAACTCTTCATTATTGACCGGTATTTATACCGTTCAACTCATTTGCAACAAACTGTAATTACTGATTTAATTTCATGATGTATTTATTTTTGTCACCTTTAACCCTTCACAGTAGCTAGCTTATTTCCAATTACTGTGGCTCTGCGTGCCAAATGTAAACACACATATTTAACAATTCAGAATTTTTATAACTATGGTAAACCCACCCATGTGACGAAATTTTTTTTTCAGATCACACTGTCTTCTGCCCTTTTTATCTATAGTGGTAAATAATGGAATGAAAAACGATAATTAAAAAGAAAAATTCTTTACAATTTTTCTTTTGGGTCGCAGGGTAGCTGGTGTCTCTCTCGAGCAGTCACAGTGCATGATGCAGCGTACACCCTGGACAAGTGGCAAGTCCAGAGAAAAAACACAACCAAACGTTCACTCTTACTCACCTGGTAGAATTTAGTTAGGGTACTAATGAGCCTAACGTCCTAATGCATGCTCAATAATCCAGGTAGATGAATCTAACAAGGTTGAGTCTGGTCCTCTGGACGGATTCTTCTTTGTTGAAACGTTTTGTGTTTTATGTACAATAGTAAAATAAAACAATCAAAACTTAAATTCAAACGTGATTTAATGTAATAGAACTTTAATGATACTTTAATCCAACAAGGCAGACGTAACTCAAAGCTCGACAAGAAGGTGTCAAGATGTCACATTATCTTTAGTTTAAATAATTTTTGAAGAGCAAAGCTCTGGCTTAGGGGTAGATTAGGACGACCAAGAGTTCAAGAAATAAGATGAAAGAGGGATTTAAGCCCTGGCTTGCTGCTGCTGCTGCTGTTGGTATTCAGCAATTCTGCTTTCCATCAAAGGTCTGAAGTGTCTGACCAATCCCTAGGAACACAGATGGAAAGAAATCATTTATAGTGTAGGTATAAAGTATGCAATCCCAACATATAAACACAATTTACAGAACAAGCAATTATGTGGACTTTTGTATATTCCACCACGACATGAAAAGGAAGAAGTGGAAGGAAGAAAATGGATGGGTGAATTTAGTGGCATCTGGTGGTAAAAGTTGCAAATTACAAGAAGTAATTAAATATCAACAATTAGTCCCTCAACAGTCCTGATGCATGCTCAATAATCCAAGTAGAAAAATGTAACAAGGTTAAGTCAGGTCCTCTGCATGGACTCTTCTTTGTTGAAACATTTCGTCTTTTATACAAAAGACTTCTTCAGTCTGAGAAGTTACAAATAGCCCCGTCTCATAGTGAATCAAACAGTTTGCTGGTGACAGCCAAAACTAGCTTTTCACATGTAAAAGGAGAACAGTCAGCCTAAAAATAAATCGGTAGTGCCCTGATGGCTGCTAGCTAGTCACAGAGGGCTGAGTGAGACTTGCGGTAACAGCATTGTAAGAGGGTGACAGTTGAACATGGAGACCCCAGCCCCTTTTTAACAATGGATGGGTTCTCTTCACAAAGATGGCTTCCTTTAATTTTCTCTCAAACCAACATTCATCCTTATAAAGGATGTGATGATCAAGTCACTCTGCAGTCTACACTCACATGCAGGCCAGCGGTCACTTGTTCAAGGATGAAGATGTTCACATCCTTGATAGAGAGGAACGCTGGTTTGAGAGAGGAGTAAGGAACGCCATCGTTGTGAAGAGAACCCGTTCATTGTTTAACAGGGGCAGGGATCTCTGTGTTCAACTGTAACCCTCTTATAATGCTGTTATTGCATCACTTAGCCTTCTGTGAATCATCAGGGCACTAACAACCAATTGTTAGGGCACTAATGATCTATTGTTAGGCTGATGGTCCTCCTTTTACATGCAAACAGGTAGTTTTGTCTGTCACCAGCAAACTGGTTGATTCACTACGAGAACGATCTATTTATAAAACTGAGTTTATTGCAGCTTCTCAGACTGAAGAAGTCTTTTGGATAAAAGACAAAACGTTTCAACAAGGATGAATCCATCCAGAGGACCTGACTTAACATTATAAGATATTCCCTTAACCCATTCTTTCCTCCAAAAAAATGTCAGAAAAGTTACACTTTTAGGAAAGAATGCGTCTCCTACTGTAGCACATAGACCATTGTTTCATGGTAAACTATAAGGACCCACCACAACTTCTAGGAATGTAAGGTTATACATAAAAATTATCTATTTAACTAATTATGTACCAAGGAAAGCCGGATTATCATACATTTACCTCAGAAATAAATATATCTACACAATATATGTTATTTTTTAATTTAAGGTGTCTGTCAGTAGAATTACCATACTATCCTGATGCATGCTCAATAATCCAGGTAGAAAAAGCTAAAAAAGTTAAATCTGGTCCTCTGGATTTAACTTTTTTAGATTAGAATTATCATACTCTTCTGCTGACAGAGTAATTTAAGAGTGCAACTGCACAAAAAAAATCTGTAAAATTTTGCAGTATTTACCAATAATTATTAAAACTATTTCTTTAAAATGCAAGCGGACAGTTTTACCTGCACGGGCCATGCAGCACCATCACCCAGAGCACAGATAGTGTGCCCCTCAACCTGCTTACTGATCTCCCAAATCATGTCGATCTCTGATGGCCGAGCATCACCGCTAACAAAACGCCACATCATCTTATTCATCCAGTCCACTCCTGCAGAAATGAGAAGATTTTTTTTGTAGTCAGTCAGATGCAGAACAAATATTACCTTGTATGAAAACAATGATGCCATAAATCTATAAAGTGAAACTAAAGCAGTATTTACCCTCTCTGCATGGTGTGCACTGGCCACAACTCTCGTGCTTGTAGAACTCCAACAGGCGGGCAATGGCTTTGATAATATCGGTCTGCAAAAAAGAGCCATTCAGTGATGTACCAGATGTTTGAAGTCTACGTGAGCTGAAATACGCTGCAGAGGTGACACACTCACAGATTTGTCCATGACAATAAGAGCAGCTGTGCCGAGCCCAGTTTGAGCTTGGATGAGGCCATCGAAGTCCATCGGCACATCTTCACACACACTCTTAGGGATGAGGGGAGTTGAGGATCCTCCGGGAATAACAGCCAGCAGGTTATCCCAGCCTCCACGCACGCCACCTACCAGACAGATGTTGGTTTCAATTAAGAGGAGAAAAAAAAAAAAAAAACTTCTGCACTCGTGCTTATGTTAAGCCATCTTAATCTTTTGAGTGCATGACCCTTTAATGCAGGAAAACACGGCAGATGGATTCAAGTTATTCCTTTACAAAGGTTATACTTAATTACAGTAGTCTAAAAAAGCAGTACCTTTAAAACACTCTATTATAAGCCCCTAAAGTTAAAACCCAGTCTAGTTATTTTCTTAAAAATGACATGACTCTTTCCAAGTATACCTGCGTGTCTCTCAACGAGCTCTTTCAGAGGAATCGACATCTCCTCCTCTACAGTGCAAGGGTGGTTAACGTGGCCAGAAATGTTGAAGAGTTTTGTGCCGGAATTTCTTTCTCTGCCAAAGCTCGCAAACCAGGTGCCTCCACGCCGGCAGATGCTGGGCGCCACGGACACCGTCTCCACGTTGGCAACAGTTGTTGGGCAACCAAACACACCTTAAACACACCACATGAAGAGAACGTATGAGAGTTTCCATTGTTTTTTTGCGTTTTATTTAGTAAACATGCCCTTTTTGTGCTCTGGCTCTCACCAACGTCTGCAGGAAAGGGAGGCTTCAAGCGGGGCTTCCCCTGTTTTCCCTCCAGAGACTCAATAAGAGCGGTTTCTTCTCCACAGATGTACGCTCCAGCACCACGCATTACAAACACGTCAAAATCGTAACCAGAGCCGCATGCATTTTTACCAATCAACCCAGCAACATAGGCTTCATTTATGGCCACCTAAGAGAGAAAATATCATCATTGGTCATTGAACAGAAGCTATAAAAGCTAGCAACTTACTTAAAAAATGTACTTAAGCCAGAAAGAGAAAAGATAAGCACATCAAATTTGATCAAATACTTCATAGTTAAATGAAACAAAAATGAAAATAATTTTCTGACAAATTGAAAGAAAGGAAAGAATTTAGTTTCAGCCTAGGAGCAAAATATTATCAAACGGTAAATATTTATTTGTTGAAATCAGGTCTCTCTTGTAAATGAGTCCTCGAGGCTCAATGGGATTTACCTGTCTAAATAAAGGTTGAATGAATTTAACATGTGCATGTGAATTAGAGCTGTCATTTCTAACCCGAACCCGGAGCACGGACCCGCCTGACCCGGATTCGGACTGGGCCATAATAATTTGCTTAATGTGTGGGCCGGGTCGGTGTCAGGCTTTTTATTGTGTCAGGGACATGCACAGTCGACGATCCAATGTATGCAAACATGGCTTGCCATACTACACCTGCTGCACGTGGCCATTTGACTGCGCGTGACGACCGATTGAAAGAGGTAAAAAGTTCATTTAAGCTTCAGATACACTACTGCCAGCGAGCCATCAACCCAAATGGATGTTCATTCAGCTGCTGCACTCAGCGGACGCGCGCGGCAGACGACCCAAACAGGTGAGATCACAAAATATCTGACGTCAGAGCAGGGTCCAATGCAGGCAGAAGCAGGGGAAGCATTTAATGCGCTTTGAGAGCTCCTCAGCTCTGATTTTCTGCCCCCTTCAGCTGCGTATTTCCGCCGACCATTAATAACAGTCGGTGGTATAAGCAGTCAAAGCTTAATTAAAAATGACCATTTTTTTCGGGTTCAGACCTGTAAATACTGTTAATTTGTCTGATCGGGTGGGTTCGGAGATGATGGCTGCGGGCTGAGGCCGGGTCGGTTCTGATTATTTGGACCCGCGTGGAACTCTAATGTGAATATCAAAGTTCTTCTTTCTAACTTCAATTTCAGAAAGTTGTTTTTGCTGTCCAATATACAACTTCATCAATCATTGCTTTATGTTTGTAAAATGTGTTTTTTCTCAGTTTTTTGCACGATTTCAAAAGGTATTCTGTTTTCTCCATAAATAAATCATTTTGAATCACAAAAACCTTTGACAAATAGGTTTAGTACTGGTAGACAAACTCCACAGACTTATTTAGGAATATTATGTGCACATAGTTGCAGAGATTAAGTATTTTGTGTTTATTGAGTTTCTTTTAAACTTAATATTTTGCAACTTCCTTTGCAGTATTTCTTTGTAAAATCTGACATGAGAAATACTTAAGAAACACACTCCAAAAGCCCGTTAAGTATAACCATCGTGTAATATATTTACTGTAACCATATAATATGAACCCATTTTTTTTAATAACATGCATCCACTTTTTAATCAATATTTAGCTATCTAGATGTGATTATGGTAAGAGATAATACATGATGTGCATTTTCTAAATTCCTCTGGCGAAATCAAAAATCATGAAAAATGCACATTTTTAAACTGTGTAATTTCAGGCTCACCTGCAGGTTAGATGACTCGTTGTAGAACTCTCCTCTGATGTAGATATAAGCAGCACGCGCCCCCATGGCCCTTCCAGCGACCAGGCAGCCCTCCACCAGCTTGTGAGGGTCGTGCCGCATGATCTCTCTATCCTTGCAGGTGCCTGGCTCTCCCTCGTCTGCATTCACCACCAAATACTTTGGACTAAAACAGAATGAGGTTGTATAATGCAGCTAAGGTAAGCGAAAAAAAAAAAATCTCATTAAAAATATCTTAATTTGTACCTGGAGACTAATATCTAACCTCTTCAAGGCAAATATTGACACTTTATTAACTTTAAACATTTTAAGAATGTTGTAATTTTACACGAATTGTGATTAAAACAAAAGAATATCCAAAGTAAATCTATACAACTCCTCACTGACCGACCATCGCTGGGCTTGTTCATAAAACTCCACTTCATGCCAGTAGGGAAACCTGCTCCCCCTCTCCCACGCAGACCAGAAATCTTGATCTCATTCAGAATCCAGTCGACCCCCTTCAAAAGAATCTCCTTGGTTTTGTACCAGTCACCTCGTTTCAGCGCCCCTTTCAGCCTAAAGCGTCACAGAAGTGGAAACAATTTTTTTTAATTGGATGTTTTTATCTACTTTTGGCACCAAATCAGTACATGCATCATGCTTTAGATTTCAAAGCCATACCTCCAGTCATGACGACCATAAAGGTTTGTGAAAATTCTGTCCTCATCTGCCAGCGGCCCAAATTTTGTTTTCTTAGGAGCACTCTGGATACATTAAAAATATGATGATCCTGTTGTCACCAGTTAAGCTTATTTTTAATTGAATAAAGATTCCTGAATTGTGTTGAAGCATGAAATAGTTACCTCTGCTGTGCTGTTGAACCTGGTGATAGTGGTCACACCGCCTTGGCAAACAGCAGCTGGGGCACGAACCACCCCACACACCACTGCTCGAGACAAGGACAGCATCCTTTCAGAAAAAAAATTAAAAAATAAAGATTAAAGACAAAAATACAAGATACACAAAACCCACATCACATATTTCAAATTCATTCAACTGTAAAAAAAAAAAAACTAAATTAACCAAAAATAGATGTGCAGACATATGTCAAATATATATTATATTGCCTTTTTTTCCTCTACTGACATTTAAAAAAAAAAAAAACATTTTGAGCAATTTGAACAAAAATAAATTAGATTTTTTTTTTTACACTTAACATGAATTAAAATAATGTGTAATGGTGTTAACACTGCAACACAACAACAGTGATGATAATTATTAATACAAAAAGATGTACTTAGATGCAACTTGTAAAAAGGTTATGGGGACATATGTGAGTACAAATACAATATAGCCTGGTACTTAAAGAGTACATTCCTTATACTTAGGGTAAGAAACAGGTTTGAAATGTACCTGATACCTACCCAGTAAATGCCTACTAACTGGTACTTAATGGGTATTTATTTCAAGGACAGGGCTAAATTATGAGGTGACACTACCCTGTTAGGATACTTAACATATACTTTGCAGTACTCAATGAGTACAGTACATACCAATTACCGGTGTGTACTCAGTAATTTCTCGACTGTACAGTATTGCTAGCGGAATGAAATATAAACAGCATGTTTACGCCTTACATATTTACATAGAGCAGTCAGAAAATAAAATGTATTTTTGAATATGAAAAACAATATATATATATATATATATATATATATAAAAATACATTTTATTTTCTGTATGTTCTATGTAAATATGTAAGGCGTAAACATGCTGTTTTTATTTCATTCCG